CGCACACACACGTACACAAACATACACACACACACACACACGCACACAGTCGGCGTGACCCGCTGCATTATCTGCGTGTCGGCGGCGTGCGTGGTCGGTATCAGGACCTCCGTCCCCGTCCCCGTGTTCAGCGCTGAGTGTCCTCGCTGAGGTCACGTTGTCTCATGTCCTCGGTGTCATAATCTCCATTAAATCCTGACGTGGTGGTCAAATCATCTCTGCAGACAACAGCAGTCGGCTGGGACAGAACCGGCTCGGTGGGCCTTGGTACCGCGAGTCCACGCAGGAGACATTTGTCCACAGGGGCAATACTGTGCCACAGATCAGCACCGGAAGACGAGACATTCTTTTTGCTTTGTTGTGTTGTGCAATAATGTGCAAAGCCTGAGACCACGTCTTCACGTCGTGCTGCGGTCGGTCAGAACATGAACACTGAGGCGTTCAGCCCTGATCGTACGACACGAGGGCCACAGCGTGTAATCACCATATGATGGAGAAAGAACACACACTTATCAGTGTGCGATCGGGGTCATCAGGAACACGTGTTGCAGTTCGTCCACGACACAGAGAACTGGATACAGAGTTGAAAGTCGCTCAATGCACGATTGGAATTCCCAGAACAAAACCAGATGTGGTACTAAGCATCGATATAGTCCTCCTCTGCATCCGTAGGTCTATACAGGAAGCACACGCGTGGTTTTTTAATCCAAGCACAAGCTGCGGCTCGAGGCTCCTTCACATCGGTGCAGGAAGAACGGTAACTTTTAAAACCATGAGAGTCATTGTTCCTTCTCAAAGGTTTTTCACCCTGAAACCAGATGAGATACAGAGATCTCTTTTGCACGGTTCTGGGCAGCAGGTGAAGCTTCTACTCCAATCGGGTGCAACGCGTCAATGTGCAGGATTTCACTTTTTCTGTGATTGAAGGTATCAACAAACCCGCTCATCTGGGACCCTTTGAATGTTAAAACAACTGCCAGGAATTTCACTTCAAGGCGTGTCTGATTCCCTGAATTCTCGTCTGAATTACAACATGTGTTGTGTTTCAACAAAAGCATTTTGTGTTCAGATCCAACCGGGCCTGAGATTTGAAAGAGTCCCCAACACAGCGCTCACGCGAGAGCCAAAAGCAACACAAGACATTGTGGAAAACTCGTTTGGTTTGAACAGACAACACAAGTGTGGGATGTGTCTAATGAGCAGCGCTGATGCAAAGGAAATAGAAACATCCTTTCACAGCTGGGAGGGAAGAACGGTGTGTTAAATCGTAGAGCGGTGCACGCGGCTGCACGGTGAGCCTTTTTCAGGAATAAATACACCCAAATAAGGCCCGCTCGCAGAATCACTCAGCAACACAGCGCCCGTGTGTGTGTGTGTGTGTGTGTGTGTGTGTCAGTGACTTTGGTATTCCAGCTGAAATTCATTACCCTGCAGACGGCGATGTCCAAACAGAGCAGCTCAGTCTGTTCATACCGTGACTGAAACAACATACCTCCTCTAATCAATAAAGGCCGTGTGATTTGTGAAAATATACTCACACAGTAGTGTGTGTGTGTGTGTGTGGGGGGGGGGTAGAAAAATAACTAAATTGATTTTGAATAGCAAGGTTGTGCCTTTGTCCTCTATCTTTTCCCGTCTGTTACTGCATTGTCAATGTCTAGAAGTAAAAGAAAGTGTTTTCATTTGTATTCATCACTTTATGAACCCGCCACTGTTGAGGTGTTTGGGGACTGAAAATCCAATTATATTTTAGTCCAACGCAAGTTTTAGATGGTCCACCTGTAAACGCACCCAAACCTGTGTGTCCCTTATCATCAGGCTGTGTTTGCCCCTTTAAGAAACCATGGAACGTGAAGCCAATGAGGAACCGTAAACTCTTCTCTGTCCAGCAGGGGGCGACTCTTCTGGCTGTTGAAAAGTCGATGACAAAATGACTCTACGTCTCTCTCCTAGAGAGTTTATGGTTACAGCTTAACCAGTGTCCTTTATTTTGAAGGGGTAAGCCTGGCCGTGTAATTGCACACGTCCAGTTCGATGGCAGACCCTCAGAGTCCCACTCATTCAAAGCATTTAACCTGGGCCAAACCACCTGGATTAACAGAAACCTGCACTGTGACCTCTGACCCTGGCTCACAACTAAAAGAAACCGCACTGTCAAGGAACAGTAGACAAGAATCTATTTTGTAAATCTGCTTCACCGTGTGTCAGACAAACGCAGGGAGACATTGGTTGGACATGTTGGACAAACAGACAGAAAGGGTAAAAACAGACAGAAAGGGTAAAAACAGAAAAGGGCGCTGGCGGTGAAACATGGAGAACTGTGCTGGAAATGATCTGATTATGTTACAAAATAAAAGCGCAAGCATGTTTAAAAGGACAACACATAATTGACATTCTTGTCCTATTTTACTGCATGCAGTTTGGCCTCTGTCCCAAACCAGCTTACTCATTTGCATTCTAATAACAATGAGGCCACATTGCTTTGGGGACAAACAGGATATCATCATCACTTTCCTACAGCAGTAGTCCAGGCTGAGTAGTTAGTGATTTCAAAAATCACACTTTGAAAGTGCCATATTTTATTTAGGCCACATTTCACATTATTTCGTAACAGGTGAAATAATTATTCAACCATTGATTGAATGCAGTAGATTCTGTACAACATAAATGAGTCTGAACTGTTTATTCTCATCGATAGACGGTTTGTTGAGGAAGAACAACACGCTGTGTATCAGTTTGAGGTTTGAAAAGGAAGGAAGTGGGCTCTCGTCTTTGTGGTGTTCCAAACGACTTCCTGGATTAACAATCTCGTTAGCCGGTAACACGGTGTTCTTTTCAGTTGTGGTTGAGGGTGAAAGACAAATGGCCAAAAGTTGTCTGAATGTTTCAACCTGGTATCAGTTTATTGCATTTTGTAAACTTAGTTTCAAGTAAACTTACAAATGTTAAAATTGAAGTTAACAGGAAGTTTTTCAAACTATTTTGTCGGCGTTGCACTGTGACTTTTTGGTCTTCCTGATGCTGGTGTCCCCGCCCCCCTCTCTCTCTCTCCCCCCCACTCGTTACCTTCCTGCCGGTAACCTGAGCCGCTCTGAGGCGCGTTCAAACAAAACGCGATGAAACCGCGCCCCCCAGTTTGGAAACCGCTGCCTTATTAGACCACATTGTAAACACAAGATCCCCCAGATCGATAATATTACACTATATTGTAATATTATCGATCTATACATGTACAGTAGCAGTAAAAAGCTAGCGCGCGACTCTTTCTCATTGAATTGAATGAGAAAATGTAAACTACTGTATCCATACTATATCGTGAGTACGTTGCTCGTGACGCGCGACGACGTCACGAGGACGGTCCCGTACCTTGGAGATGATCAGCGGCTCTCCGTGCTCCAGGCCGCCCTGCAGGGTGAAGCCCCACGGCGCTCCTCCCTGCAGCCGGGCCTCCACCAGCACCCGGCCGCCCCCTCCTCCGCCCGCCCGCACCCCGTTCTCCATGTCCGGGGACGGGGTTCGCTCACCGCCCCCCCGCGGGCCGCGTGAGTCCTCCGCCCGGTGACGGAGGGGTCGAGCACCGCACAGCCGAAAACGGTCCCTTCTTCACCGGCGCATTTCCGTCACGCGCGTGGAGGGAGGCGACGGGAGACGGAGTCCGCGTGTCCCGCAAAGTGCATTCCTCACGCGCGCAGCGGCGCCACAGAACCGCCGCAGACCCCCCGCGGCCCGGCGGGGTCAACGAGTTCAGCGAGAGGAGAACGCGTTACACTGTGACGTGAGAGCAGCTCCAACAGGGATCCAAACTCTCTCTCCCTGTCTCTCTGTGTCTCTCTCCTTCCTCTCTCCCTCTCTCTCTCTGTCTCTCTCTCTCTCTGTCTCTCTCTCTCTCTCTGTCTCTCTCTCTCTCTCTCTGTCTTCCGAAAATCAGTTTAGCATCACAATAGGATTTACTGCGACTCACTGAGCGAAAAGAAAAGAGGGAAAAGAGAGAGAGGGAGAGAGCGGGGAAGGGAGGGGGTGTTAAGAGAAGGAGAGGGAGGCCAGGGAGGGGGTAGGAGGTAGGAAAGGAGGGATGAGGGGAGGGTGTAAGACAGGGCAAGAGGAACACATGGGAGAACCTGATAGAAAGGGGAGAAGAAGACGTGTGGAAAGGTTCCTCAGTGCTGATGCATCATGGTCCGGCCCTGGGGCAGCACGCTGCAGGTGGAGGTCGGAGGGTATTGAGGGTGACCAGAAAGAAGGCGGTCCATGCCGGGGGGGCGGGGCCTCTCCCTTAAACACCTGTTGCCACTTCAACCAAAATGTCTCAGCCTTTTTGGCAGGTCAGCGAAGTGATCGTGATTGATCACCTGGGACCACGAATGTCAATCCAACCAATAGTTGATTAGATGTTTCAGAGTAGTTGGAGGGTTTGAGGGCTCCAGCGGTTTCCTTCACCTGGGTTCAGAGGTCGGTCCCGTTCATCCGGTCGGCTGCCAGCGCTCAGGACCACCGAGCTACTGAGGATTTGAGGACGAGTCCACGGTAGCGCTTCGTCTCGTTGTGCTTTGTGTCTGTTCGTTGTCGTTTCCTTTTGTGTTGCTTTGTCTCGTTGTGGTCTTATCATGTTTGCAGTCTTTGTGGTCCTTTTTGATCTTCTAACCCGTCTTCAAAGACCACTGTGTTGTTATCCAAGTTCGCCATCTAGGGGTGGGCGGGACTCTAAAGGCAGAAGGTTCACACTTTCCTTTAGAGTCCACGATATTTCTCAATAGTTTATACTTGAAAAAGAAATATGACTGGAGCTTTTAAATGGATTCAGGTGACCTTTAAATTTAAATAATAGTTTATTACAACCAAACATTGGTGACAGTGAAGACATCTTGTTTAATCAAAAATATGATAAAGACTGTCAGCCATATATGTCACACATTTAATAATGACACACATATGAAGTCCACATTTCTGCACTTGGACAAATCATTCTTATGTGAATGTGCAAAAAAACAGGGTAGAAATAATATTAATTCAAAGATTTTAATTGAACAAAAACCTTGTTTTGTAACATATTATTTTTAAACATTTAAATGTTTTTTAAAATACAAGTACTTGAAAGCCCTTAACACATTTTATACAGCTGCACAAGCAGCCGACAATGAGATAATAGTAATAAACCTGCACACGTTACAGAATTCTTAACATGTTATGGCGAATGCAGCCCTTCATATTGTAGAAATATAAACTGTCACATGACAAACAAACATCCGTTAGGGACGTGGAACGAAGCTGAGATGTTCACAGGTCCAGTTAATCAAAGACAGCGTCCCTCCCAGCGGAGACGCTCAGAGACACACAGCCGGGCGGTGCAGGGAAAGGTGGTGCCACCAGCGGGTGCAGCTCGTGAGACCAACCGTCCCCCTGGGTCAAAGTGTCCACTAGTCCAACCCTCTGCTCCGTCAGAGGGCGATGCGCTCCGGCGGAGACGCTGACGCACACATGCTAAGCGTACGTAGCGCCAGGCTAATTAGGATTGTTGGTGTTGTTCTGTGGGCTGAATGTGGATCCTGACGCGGGACCTCGGTTCTGTTTGAACGTGGCTGAGGTGCCGACGCTATAGAACCAATGGAAGAAGTACTCACATTGAATTGAGAGACAACGTGTCCACACTTTTGACTGGTACTGCAAGTTCTAAGATGAAGCGATGACGACGGAGGCGTAAATGCAGTTTATCAGGTCCACTGAGACACAGAAGATGTCATTCTGATGCCGTCTCTCTGTAAAACGTGTTAACGATGGAGAATGTCTCTGTAAATCTGCGATCAAGGGCTGAAATAAAACGTGTAGCTGTGTGTTCTGACTTTGGAAACAACCTCATCATGTCTCAAACTGAACCTCTTCACGCGTGTTGACCCTCAGCTGCACCCTCGTGGGCCGTGGGAGACACCAGGTGTTGACACACTAAGCCTCCTCCGACGCGCTGTGGATCGTCTCGATGATCATCTTCTTCAGCTTCTTCACTCTGTCCGCCGGCGTCTCGTTGAGACACTCCTCCACGTACTTCAGGAAGCCCGCGTGCGGCGCCGGCGCCTGACCCAGCGTCCTCGCCGCGTCCAGCACCTCGCCGCAGGGCCGCTTGCGTCCTCCCGACACTCGGCTGTCGGCGGGGGACGGGGACGGGGGAGGGGAGTGCTGGGAGGCCGGGGGGGTGGGCGGGGGAGGGGGTTCCAGGCCCGGCGCTGCGTGGGGGTCTTCGGGCCGCTCGCAGAGGAACACCAGCTGGCGGTAGTGTTTCCACTTGGGGAGGTGGGGGTCCTGCGAGCCGCTCAGCGCCTTGTGCTCCCGCTGGAAGATGGTCCGCAGGTTACGGAACTTCGTCTTTATGTCCTCCGCTGAGGAAGGAAGAATCACAGGAGCGGTCAGCACTCGAATGTTCAGTTAAATGACCTGAAGTAGTGCGAGTGGCCTCCAGGATGAGAGCTGCTGGAATCTAAAGGAAAGGAGCTTCAAAGTTTGATCAGTGACGGGAAACACGGATCACGTGAGTGACTCATTCGTGTTCTGCAACACATGGAGCTTCAGAGAAACCGTAGCTTCGCCGCTGCAGACGGACGTCACTGACGTGCGTCTCCCGTAGACATTGGGAGGTCATTTATTTGACGGTTTGCATTCAGCGGTCATGCCTCAGCCCCACAAAGAGCCCCCCCGCTGTTACCTGAGAAGGGAGGCGACCCGTCGTCGGACAGCATGCTGCTCAGCGCCTCCAACTGGCTCTGTCTCAAAAGCCGGTTCTTGTAGTTCTCCGACCTGTGGTTCCACAGACAGCTGTGCTCTAGAGACAGAAGTCACGTGGATGAAAGCGTGAGTCTTTTAGCACAGAACGCGGCCTCTGGTGGCAGCAACGGGTATTACAACAACAACCGGCGCTGGATAAAAACACATGTATGACCACACAAGTCCGCGAGGAGACGTGTGAACACGTGGAAGGAATCACGGATCAACAACAGACGGCGGCACCAACCGGAGTAAAACGATATGAGCCGCTGGACTTTGGCCTCGCTCCAGTGGCAGCGGGGGTCGGTGCTCCGCTTGCCGCCGGCCTGAACCGAACCGGGGGGGCGAAGGGGCCAGGGGCTGGTACCGGGTTGGGCGTCCTGCTGGGGAGAGGACGGGGGGGCGCCGGACGTGGCGCCGGCCGCTGGGTCCGCTTGCTTGAGGTCACCCGGAGACGCGAGGAGGAAGTCTTGGTAGGCGGCGCCGCCGTTGGCTTCGATGCCGCCGGGGTCCCTGAACTTGATCTGGGCGGAGGGGGGCGGGTGGTTTTTGAGATCCAGGGCCTGGTCTACCCGGGGCGGCGGTACCTTCACGTCGTCTGGGCCCTCGTCTTCGTCGCAGGACTCGCAGAGGAAGAGCAGCTGCTGGTAGTGTTTCCATTTGGACAGGTGGAGCTTGTCGGCCCCCCTGCTGGCCTGCACCGCCTTGAACTCCCGGTTGAAAATGGTCCGGAGGTTTTTAAACTTGAACTTCACGTCTTCAACTGCAAAAGAGCGAAAGAGGAGTCACATCTCCAGTCCCGGTTCATTTTCTGCATAAACACTCAACCCGTACTTGAGAACGGCGCCGAGTCGTCGGACAGCCGGCTCCTCACAGCCTCCAGCAGCCGCAGCCGCAGCAGGCGGTTGCTGTGGTTTTCGGACCTCTTCTTCCAGAGGCAGTGGTGCTCTGTGACACAAAAACAACACAACGGCAGCCTGTCAGCCAGGATCCGAGCCCCGGTGGGGGTTTGGATCAACAAGCGATGTTGGGAATCGGTCTGGGTGGGTTGGCGTTACCAGAGTAGAAAGCGATCAGTGCGCGCTCTCTCTCCTCAGTCCACAAGCACTTCCCCGGCGCGCTGGGGGGCACGCAGGAGGCCGAGGAGCAGGTGGGCACGTCGGGGAGGCGGGGGTCGATCAGCGGAAGGGAGGAGCCGGCGGTCCGGCCCTCCTTCCGCGGCGAGGTCGGACGTTCTTCCGGGCCGCCGTCCGGGTCCCAGCAGCCCTGCAGGAACATCAGCTGCTCGTAGTGCTTCCACTGCGGCGCGAAGGCGTCGTCGGACCGGCCCGCCTCGCTGGCCTTCACCATTTTGTACTGCCGCTGAAAGGTGGTGCGCAGGTTCTTGAACTTGTTCTTGATGTCGTCCACTGGAGAGAAAGAGCAGATGATTTGGGGTTTCTAGACAAAGTGCAGCTCGGGAAGATCAAAGTCCGCAGCCACAGGCCGACCTGTGAACGGAGCGGGAGGCGGCGCCGCGGACAGAAGGGCCCGCAGACGTTCCAGGGTTTCCCATCGGAGCTGGCGGTTCTTGTAGCTCTCGGATTTGTGGTTCCACAAGCAGCTGTGCTCTGACAAATGAAAGCCAACAAGTTACTCAGCCACTACATTATTGAACGTGTATGTATAAATATATATGTTTTGTTGTATTGGGAGCCAAATAGATCAGTGACCATACAATTCTATGCTTGTACACTATATATATTATTGAAATGAGACAATTTGTCTCTTTGTAATTCATTATGATTTTGAAGAGTTTATTTTACCAGCTTGATGGTTTTGATAACAAATAATAATTCTGTAAATTTAAATCCAGGCATTTATTTGTGACATTTTGTTTTAGGAGTAATATTTAAAACTCGCCTACATAAAAAGATAATCTCCAGAGGTGTACAGTTCGTTGATTTAACACACACACACACACACACACACACACACGCACACGCACATGCATGTGTTTATAAATTAGGGCTGTCAAAATTGCTCAAATATATTCGAATATCTGGGCACGTCAATAACAGGACAAATTAATACGAGACATAACTACTTTTATAGATGATTTAGTTAAGTTTAAACCGATTAACAACATATTACCTACACAAAAATAAGTAAATTAACTAATGGCCAAGACCGCAGACGTCTCTCTCTGCGCAAAGCGGTTTAAATGAACGACAATAAAAAACAAATGCTGAGCGCTGATCAAGAGTTTTGTCAAAGCAGTTTAAGGTTGCGATTCTTCAGGCTTCATTCAGTGATTGAAACTGAAAGTTTTACAGTACCGACATTGAAGCGAGTGAAACATGTAAACATGGAACTTTTCATTGGCATGACACATAATCAAACCAGTGCATGAAGCTGTTGTTGTAGCCGATCTGGTCTATTTTATTTATGCAATATACAGTCAGGCGCGCGCCCACTTGCAAAGTCACATTCAAATATTCATTTTCACATTTGAATATGTATTCAAATATAGAATATTCGTTGACAGTCCTAGAAGGTGGGACGCACCGTGGGACGGGAGCACCTTCGTGGACTGTTTGTATTGTATGTTTGCATTGTATTTCACTTTGTAGCTGTATTCCTTATCACTTTGTTTAGTTAATAATTTTTTTAATTTGAGCAAGTTGCCTCTTTTGATTCTTTGTTTCGAGAACAAAGGAGTGAAGCCTCATTCGAGGGCTTTCCAAACCATTAACAATTGAAAGATATTCACAGATTCAGACTGACGGACCGAAGGGGTCGGGTGCGCTGCTACAAGGGTGGCAGTGACAGTGGGGGTCTAGACGGAACAGACCTGGGCGGCAGATGCCGGCTCTGGGGATGTGGAACGTAACCTCTCTGCGGGGGAGAAGGAGCCGGAGCTTGTGCGGGAGGTGGAGCGTTATCAGTTGGATCTGCTGGGGCTTACCTCTACGCACAGCCTCGGCTCTGGAACCACACTCCTGGACAGGGGATGGACTCTATTCTACTCCGGAGTGGCCCATGGTGTGAGGCGCCAGGCGGGTGTGGGGATACTCATAAGTCCCCGGCTGAGTGCTGCTACATTGGAGTTTACCCCAGTGGACAAAAGGGTCGCCTCCCTACGCCTTCAGGTGGTGGGGGGGAAAACTCTGACTGTTGTCTGTGCATATGCACCAAACAGCAGCTCAGAGTATTCAGCCTTTTTGGAGACCCTGAATGGAGTCCTGCATGGGGCTCCAGCAGGGGACTCCATAGTCCTACTGGGAGACTTCAATGCGCACGTGGGCGACGATGGAGATAACTGGAGAGGCGTGATTGGGAGGAATGGCCTCCCTGATCTGAACCCCAGCGGCTGTTTGTCATTGGACTTCTGTGCCAGTCACGGATTGTCCATAACAAACACCATGTTCGAACATAAGGATGTTCATAAGTGTACGTGGTACCAGAGCACCCTAGGCCAAAGATCAATGATCGATTTTGTAATCGTATTGTCTGATCTGAGGCTGCATGTTCTGGACACTTGGGTAAAGAGAGGGGCAGAGCTGTCAACTGATCACCATCTGGTGGTGAGCTGGGTCAGAGGATGGGGGAAGACTCGGGACAGACCCGGTAAACCCAAGCGTGTAGTGAGGGTGAACTGGGAACGTCTGGAGGAGGCCCCGGTCCAAGAGATTTTCAACTCACACCTCCAGCGGAGCTTCTCTCACATTCCTGTGGAGGTAGGGGACATTGAACCGGAGTGGTGTATATTCAAAACTTCCATTGCTCAAGTCGCGGCAGTGAGTTGTGGCCTCAAGGTCTTCGGTGCATAAAGGGGCAGTAACCCTCGAACCCCGTGGTGGACACCAGTGGTCAGGGAAGCCGTCCGACTGAAGAAGGAGGCCTTCCGGGTTATGATATCCGGTGGGACTCCGGAAGCAGTTGCAGTGTACCGACGGGCTCAAAGGGCAGAAGCCTCTGCCGTGATGGAGGCAAAGGAGTATGAGAGGAGTTTGGGGTAACTGTGGAGAAGGACTTGGGCACCAAAGTGCTTCTGGAAGACCATCCGGCACTTCAGGGGGGGAAACGGCGAACCATCCAAGCTGTGTACAGTAAGGATGGGGCCCTGTTGACCGCGACTGAGGAGGTTAACACATTTTGAGGAACTCCTGAATCCAACTACTGTGCCCTATTTGGTAGAGGCGAAGCTGGAGGCGGAGGAGGGATCATCGGCAATTTGCCTGGTGGAGGTCACTGAGGTAGTCAAACAACTCTGCAGTGGCAAAGCCCCGGGGATTGATGAGATCCGTCTAGAGATGCTAAAAGCAATGGGTGTTGGGGGGTTGTCTTGGATGACACGCCTCTTCAACATTGCGTGGAAGTCTGGGACAGTGCCAAAAGAGTGGCAGACCAGGTGGTGGGACCAGAGAGTGTGTGCCAATTACAGGGGTATCACACTACTCAGCCTCCCGGGTAAAGTCTACTCTAAGGTGCTGGAAAGGAGGGTTCGGCCGATAGTCGAACCAAGGATTGAAGAGGAACAATGCGGTTTTCGTCCTGGCCGTTGAACAACGGACCAGCTCTTCACTCTTTCCAGGATCATAGAGGGGGCTTGGGAGTATGCTCAACCAGTCTACATGTGTTTTGTGGACTTGGAGAAGGCGTATGACCGGGTCCCCCGAGAGTAAATGTGTTCGGGTGCTCTGCAGTAAGTCGGAGGCGTTTCCGGTGGGGGTTGGCCTTCGCCAGGGCTGCGCCTTGTCACCAATCTTGTATTGAGTTTGGCCGGAGAATCGGAGCAGCGGGGGCGGTATTGCACTCGCTTTACCGCACCGTTGTGACGAAAAGAGAGCTGAGCAAAGGCAAAGCTCTCGATCTACCGGTCAATCTTCGTTCCTACCCTCACCTATGGTTATGAAGGATGGGTCATGACCGAAAGAACTAGGTCACGGGTACAAGCGGCCGAAATGGGTTTCCTCAAGAGAGTGGCTGGGGTTTCCCTTACAGATCGGGTGAGAAGCTCAGCCATTCGTGAGGAGCTCGGAGTAGAGCTGCTGCTTCTTTGCGTTGAAAGGAGCCAGTTGAGGTGGTTTGGGCATCTGGTGAGGATGCCCCCTGGGCGCCTCCCTAGGGAGGTGTTTCAGGCACGGCCAGCTGGGAAGAGGCCCCGGAGAAGACCCAGGACTAGTTGGAGAAATTATATCTCTGCACTGGCCTGGGAACGCCTTGGGATCCCCCAGTCAGAGCTGGTAGATGTGGCCCGGGAAAGGGAAGTTTGGGGTCCCATGCTGGAGCCCCGCGACCCGACCCCGGATAAAGTGGTTGAAGATGGATGGATTTACATTTACATTTAACATTTATACTATTTAACAACTTTGTGTTACTTCCAAACCTTATTCTTGGAAAAGTTATTGCATGAATTTACATGAATTTCTCTCTACATTTTTGAAAAAGTGACATATGAATATTTTCGTTTTCATACGATAATGCTAAATGTACCAAAACTGTGCAGGATTTTAGAACGTGCAACATCTTACAAACAGGGCCCCATAGGTATCTACCGTCCGAAATGCAACGCAGATTTCGGTGCTTGCCTTCGGTGCCTGAGCCTATTGAAAAACTTTATTAACACTACATTGATGACACCGTCCTCGCAGTAGCTAACGACAGCGTACCGCTTGTGCAGCTACAGCAGCTAGCTAGCCATCTGCCTTCTATTTATATTCATTTAAGTCAGTGTTTCCCCTCCGTTATTCAAAGTTTTCACCCCGATGGACACGGACGAACACGTGTCCAGCAGCGGTCACAGCGTGAGTCCCTCCTCTGCTGTCCCCGGACGGCCCGAGTGTAGCGGCGTTCTGCAGACACGTGACTCGCGCGAATGACAGGAGATTGTTTGTTAGCTTTTCACGACGTCAATACACAGAAGGAGCGTCAATCCAACACAAATGCTTTCAATATATGTTGCTTATCTTTAGTTCCTGCACAGTGAGCATTCATCTAAAATTAAATAATTAATATTCTCCAAATTCCAATGAACCAATATACACCCTTTTGGCTTTAACATAGGGGAAACACTGTAATTAAACTGTAAACACTTAATATATTGTTCAATTTGAAGAAAAGAATTAGCTTTGGCAATAAAAAAAACTTTCTTTAATTTCATCAATCATGGTTATGTGCTTTTTTAATAGAAAAGTATCAGTTCAGGCGTCGTTTAGGCACCGGTATCGTTTTAAAAGTATTGGGTTAGCACCGGTATCGGAAAAAAACCCAAACGATACTCTCTACTTTCGAGGCTGACTAACATCCTACTGGGGCTGAGACGGTTTTATATATAGTTTATACTTAATATTATCAACAGAAATGGACAAAGGCGTAACCACACATCCTCCCCCAAGCTCTAAACCACGGTTACACACTTGGAAATGCATGAAAGTGAGCTCAGGTAAACAGTGACGTGCGGTTATGTTCCTATGCAATAGAGAAAGTCCTTGCATACAAGTTAATAAACGTGTGTGCTGTTGTGGTTTTTAATTGATGGGCTCTCCTCTGTCTTGAGATTGCATTATTACTGTTAGCTGAAAGTACATGGCCTAACAGATTTCATTTGAATTTAAAATAACCGGGAAACAAGTTTTTCTCAGCCGGAAATATAAAATGCTCTGGAGGAGCAGCGTATCTTCCTGAATTAAATAAAATAATTGTATCTTCTTTATCTGTACTTTATAAATGTTTCGGCTTTTAAGGCTTTTACTGTCGAGCGCAGCAGGTTGCTGGGCAACGGGAGCAGCGGCGGTAAAGCTGAAGACGCAAGCAGGAAGTCCCCGTAGGACAGAACCGTCCCGTTTCAGAGACCGTTCGGTTCAGTCTATGTGGTCGTTGGAGGACCAGTCCAGGTCTACGAAGGCTGCAGTCTACAAGGATGCAACCTAGCGACTTTGAGACGCAGCCACAGCTACAGCTTACTTCAGTTGCTAGTCGCCATTGCTGTTACTGGCTTCATCGCTCGTTTCCGTTGGTCTCTTCGAGCAACGGTTGCCGCTAATTGTTGCAATTTATGACAACCTATCAATCAAAAAGACAACTTTTAAGCAACGACAAGTTGCTATTGTAGCGCGTTTGACTTACTGGAGAAAAACTCAATGAGATCCTTCTCTTTCTCCGCCGTCCAGTGCCGCTCGGGTGTGAAGCTGAACGGAGGCCCCTCCATGTTGTTGCCGTTCAATCCCTCCCGTATACCGCAACCAGGTCACATGATCCAGCCTCCAGGCTCCTGATTGGACAGACGATACTGAGCAATAACCACAGGCAATATGCTGCATTGCCCAGTAGAGGTCGTGGCCGAGTGGCGTTGTTCTCCTCAGCTGCTGTCAAACGTCAAATGAAACGGACTTCCTTGACATTTGACGTTTACTACTCAATCATATGTAGTTTGGGTTGGTAGGTTATTCCAATGTAAATTTAAATACGTGGTTTCTGTTCTTGAGCTTTTGATCTTTTAAAGAACAAAACACTTTCAAACAAATGTATTCACTGCATATTTTTTAATCAAACTGATCATGCTATTGTGATAATAGTTAACAAAAGCAGCATGAATTAAACTTGAGTTAATCTATGTTACACTAAATGTGTGTGCCGTTTGGTTGGTAAATGTATTGCAGTTATTGAATGAGACGTTCCCACAGCTGAGAGAAGACGAGAGAAACCTTCTCTGTGGTTCGCGGGAGGAAAGCGGACAACAACAACCACCACATTTCTTTTCAAAAGCACTTGTCAAGCAGATGTCAAGTGTTGTTCTCTTTTAATTTCCAACAAACATTTAATCCATGTACAATATTTACACTGTTGAAACAGTCTCACTGAGGCTGAAATAACTCAGTTAAACACCTACAAGTGTTCACATGCACACTAACACCCTCTGGACTATTTGCTGGTACAATCATCACATCTCATCTGAAGGAAGCTCATCCTGGTTTACAAACAAAGTGGTTCACTAGTAAAAGAGCATCAGGATTAACTGTATTTGTGGTCATTATGGGAATATTACATTAATGCATGATGCAATGAGCTTAGATTGGAGAATATGTATCTAATATTTCATTTTAAAATACCGGTAATATGAATATTTCTTGAATAACAACCAGTTTCTCTTTGTTTCTTCATCATCGTGTTTTAAAAATACATCAAACTAAAGCGAGAACTTGTGTCTCAGTGTGCATGTAAACATACTCCGGTATGAAAAAAATAAGTTACTTATATTTTAGTCCTGGAGAATTGAACCCCCAACTCTTTCTGCCTCAGTGCCAATGAGCTGCAGGACTGACAACCCTCATATCAACCACAACAAATACGCCGATCCATTTATACATAAACCATATAATATCATTCACATGTGCATTTACATTTCAAGCTAATAAAGTAAATAACTGCGTGCGCTCGGTGTCGGTTCTTTCTGCATTTCTCCCTGAATCCTCTGTGAAGCTTCGTGTGCAAGTTCACCGCCGGAGGATCACTGCTGTCGGGGGACAAACCTCACGTGTGCAACTAGTGACCTCACCTCCCCCTCAGCACCCGATCAGCTGTCCGAACCATGCGGGGACTCATTTTGGGCCAGATTGATGGCGCCTCGCTGTCAGCTCAGCGGTATCTCTAGATTCTAAAATCTCTAAATCCCTACATTCTGGTAGCAGGACGTCATGAAAGATGAGTGATGTGCAAGATAACCAGCAGGCTGCGGTTTGACAATCCTCCAGCGTCTGCACGTTGTGCAAACTTCACGTGGTGACACTGGAACAAAGTAGTAGAGCAACGTTGCGTCTCAGTGCCTCCAAATCTATCGACTGCCGGCTGGTTACGTGGCGATGGCAACAAAACTAGTCGCTTGGGTTTAACAAAAGGCTCGAACTCCGTTTGTTAAGAAGTAAGTTCTTTACCAGGGCTGTGACTAATGAGAAAATAGTGAAACACGTCCATGTATTTCCAAAAGCCAAATATTACTTTCCTTGTTCAGTCCCAAACTCTAAATTATCCTTTTCGTTGTCACCAAAAAAGAGAAGAATCCGTTGGTGAAGAATTGTCATTAACTATTCAAAAATGTACCACGTGTTGTCCAATTAGCACCAATACAGAACATCTGTTTAAAAAAAAGCAGCTATTGTTTGACCAATCTGAAAAAGTGTCTTTGCTTCCAAATTTCCGATTTTATTTTCAAATCAGAAATTAGAAATCAAGAATAGAGCGACACACCGTTGCCCATCTGTGGTTATGGACACTGCTGATGTTCACACAGCTGGAGCTGACAGGTCCTCCAGCAGCGTTGATAAAGTGACTGTGATATCAAACCAAAGGTGATGCTAGATGAGTAAATGCAGGTTGAGTGATCTGAGGTAGAGCGACAAGAAGCTCGGGCTCGTTGGGCTGAAGATACTGTACACTTAAAATATAAATAAAAATAAAATAAAGAGTATAAACAAATGCTGATGTTTTCGGCTGCTATAAATACGTAGCAGACATGTTCCATTTTTTACAATAACCGATGAGAAATGAGCCGTAGCATTAAAATAATACAGCTGAGGATAAAAAAACACCTTTTCTTCTTTATCATTAAAAATCAAAACAATCAACTACTTCAAGCTTAAAGATGAACAATAACTCTTCCGCTAGAACCTAGAATACTCATTTTTCCCCCATCACATGGGGGCGTATCCCAAACCTGGCCACCCCCGCGGCCGGCCCCTCCCCCTCCAAGCGGCGGGGGCCGCTGCGGCTCCCCGTCGAATCCTCGCCTTGGTGTTCTCTGTCAAGTTGGAGGGCGACATCTTATTCGCAGATCTGAGCTCCCGTCCTCTTGTAAGAGAAACGTCCTCATTGGTTGCTCACAAGATGTTACATCCTCTGCTCCTGGTAGTTGAAGTAGCACCGCCCCCTGACTCTGAAAACAACAGCCATTGGAGCTTTCCTGCTGCCAATCGCATCTTCTGACAAAAAATAAAGTACACTAAGTTCTGCCCTGCAGCAAAGAAAATGTGTCAATCAGTGGAGCTGCGATGGAGGCCCCGCCCTCCGTCAAACGACGCTGTCGTGCAGCAGCGGCTCAAAGTCCCCGTCGCTGGCGGCGGGCGGAGCCTCCTCGTCGCTGCCCGGGAGGGGCGTGTTGATGTGGACGCCGGCCAGCGAGGACATGGACTCCTTGCTGTCCAGCTGGGGCTTGTCGCCGAGGGACAGCTGGGAGGCCGAGGAGGAGCGCGGCGGTTTCTCAGGGATGAAGAGTGCGACAACAAAGGCCACGACTACGCTGCACGCCCCCAACAGGAACGGCGGGCCGGGTATGAGGCCTCGCTGAGAAAGAGAGATACATTTATTTAAGGAAGTCCTTCAATCAAAGAGTCCACATGGACATCGGCTAAACTGCATGACGTGTCCCTGCCCGACTCCTGATGTCACAGGCATTTTAAATTGTGCTGCAGCTGCAAACTGTTTGATTCTACTCAATGTGGTCGACCTGCGCCTGTATATTTACATTGGTTTTATCTTACTTCCACACACGTTCCCTATGAGTGCAACAGGACATGAGATCAGCATTATGACACACAACTATTTACTCTCCTGTACGGCTCATTGGCTGCAGCGAGCTAGCCGCTAAGCTAACATCAATGCTACGAGAAACACACGGCGGTCTCCAGGGGAGTTTACCTTGTGTGTGTGTGTGATAATTCAAAGTAGGAGTTCAGTGGTGTGTGTGTGTTGAGCTGCAACTAACGATTATTTTGATAATCGATCGATTATTTTTTCGATTAATCAATGAATCGGATGAAAAAACAGCATTAAAAAAGCTTTAATTTCCACCCTTTATTCTAAAACAGAACTGCAAATTCACATTGAGAAAAGACTTTAGAAAGTCCACAAACCGGTTGCTCCTTGAACATAATAATCCATAAAAAATAAAGAGAATTACAAATCAGAAGATTTAACAGGATAATCAGAACTTCTCCACACTACACTCACAAACACACCCCATGTTCATTAGTACCATCATTGTAGTGCCACATCTAAAAATTGCTATGAGATGAATTTAAAATGGCATTAAGTACAATACACACAAATATATTTGTCAACACAAACACAAAATATATACATGACACCAGATTGTAAAAGCAATGGTCCAAAAAAGGCTTTAATGCTGCTGTTAGCGAGCTGCATAATGATAATGATGATAAGATGATAGTAATGAGGAGCCGCTGGAGGCTCTCTTAGTCCACTTTGCGTGTTTATTTAGTGTGAAATGCTCGCACACGTTGGACGACTAGTCGAACACGTCTCTGCCTGCGTCATGTGACTCACAGCAGCTGGTGGCTCTTGCCTCTACGTCCGATCTGCTCTTTTTAAAACGTATTTTGCTTGGCGCGAAACTCCGCAACTAATGGAGTGACGTATTAATCGCACGACACGCCGAATCGATAATGAAATTAGTTGCCAACGCTGCGATCTCCTCCATTCGTTGTTGCAGCTCTAGTGTGTGTATCAATAAACCTGCTTGTGTGTGTGTGTGTGTGTGTGCACTTACCTCAGCGGGACTTTGCACAGGAAGGGGGTCCACGTTGAATTCTCCCTGGATGGGGTCCAGGGTGTTGAGCTCCACATTGAAGAGGAAGAAGATGAATCCATACAAAGCTGGACCAAGACCGTTACACAGACCCCGGATCCCTGTGATCATCCCCTGGACCACACCTGCAGGAGGAGGACAGCGGTGGCTTTATTGGAGCCGTGCACCTGCTGCTGACTCCGTGAACGCTGGATCTCATTTAGTGCCTCCTTTAGTAACACAAGTCCTATTCAAGACATCCACAATAACACAATGACCTGTTGTTCTGAGGAGAGAAGGGAGCGCAGAGAGAAGAGAACCAAACATGGAGGAGAGCAGGATAAGATGGGAGGGAAGACGATAGGAGAGGAGGATGGATAGGAGATGAGACAAGGTGTTTCCTCGTCACCTTGTTTATCGGAATCAGCAGACTGTGACACCAGAGCAGAGACAGCCGGGAAGGTGATAGAGGACATTGCTGCTACAGCACCAGCTGCCCACATCATCCTGTTGAGACACACACACACACACACACACACACACACACACACACACACACACACACAGCGAAGATGTTTGATCTCTTTGTGATATCGTTGCTGTGTTCACCATCTGACATCTATATATAGATTGGACCGATTGGCTGTTCAGCCCCTAAACCCCTCCCTCCAACAGAGATTGTCCAATCACAGCTGACATTAATGTTGCTGGGCACACGCTTGAATAATCACTGTGTTAATTACGACATAGATGCTGTTTTTTCTTCTTCTATCCTAAAAATAAACTATTCATTGTTTTATATGAATCAACTTTGAGCGTCATAATGATGGAATTACTTTTAACTTAACCTCCGTTTCTTCTGAGTGAAGCCAATGCAGAAGTGTGTTAAAACAGAACAGAGGGCAATTTCTCTGGTTGCAGAAAGCAGTTGGATCCTATAGAAGTGTCTGAGAAAGGGACTGATTTATTACCTCAAACATGAGCTTATGTTTAGCTTAAGCTTCAAAACAGCAACCGTGGCCCATTTCGAGTCAAATAGAACATGCCATGAGAACAGGGGATGCTTTAAGGCGGGACTCTCAGTGATTGACAGGCCGCTATCGGAGCTGTATGAGACGTCGCTCCTCCGCATTACAAATATGGTAATCGTTAATAATATGGCAAGAAGCCTACAAACAGTAGGCACAGTGCGACTACATCCACCCCTTACATACCGTCTATGCAGAAGCTAGTTCTACTGGTTCCCATGACACCAGGTAGCTATCCTAATCATGTCACATCCCTAACCAGTTCTACTATATACATATGCAATGATGACATTTTGTAGGCGGTAAGCACGAGATCTCACCATGGCTCTGATCCTAAGCCGTACCAGGCTAGCTGAAGGATCTGGAAGCCCAAACCCAACAGAACGGTGTTTTTATTACCCAGAGTCCTCATCAGCAGCGTGAGGACCAGAGTCTGAGGACGGAGAGGGACGGATGGTTTGCATATTCTCTACAAGCCTTTTACTTCTGTAAGAAACATGTTTTATTCATTAAGAAGTAGCTTTTCACTCTGCACTCAACCTTCAGAGCACGTCGCTCATGTGTGTAAATGATGTCAGCTTCTTAGATTCTGGTGTGTAAAGAGCAGAAGTTACCCAACCGGCCCTGATTTGCAGATGCAGTTAGAACTGCAATGTGACAAATTAGGACTCATGAATTGATATTATATTTATATATTGCTACGTGTAGGTGGAAATTGGATCCAGATTGTTTTGTGTAAATATGGTTTATCCTGTTCATCCTCTGCGGTGTCTGTGTGTCTGTTACCTGGGCAACGATGGACAGAATCCCCACCACTCCAATAAACACAGCGATGGTTGTGGAGGAGAAATTTATGATCTGAGGAGACAGACAGACGGTGTTAAAACAATCACTTAAACATGACATGCATACTGATATTTGAGCAGATATTAGATATTAGAGCATGTTTAGAGGACACAAAGCTCACATTCCAAACGCTGCAACATGTATGACAAGGCCTGGTTAGTTTGTTTAGAGTGACCCACACAGAGAGACGGTTATGAATAATATATAGGAGTCTATGGACTAAACACCAGGAGACCCAACATTGATCCTTGGGATTCCTTTATTGATATAAAACAATTGGCCACAACAGTCTAAACTTTACCAGAAAGATCATTTGAGATCTATGCAGAAGGATCAAAAGGTATATTTAACAAAGTGTACCGGTGGTCCAGAACAACAGAGCTGTGTTCCTGCCCATGGTTAAAGCTTAATTTACACACTGAGATAAAAATGACGTGTCAGTTTATCAATGCATTATATATATCTGAGTAAATGTAGTTAAAATGTATAATATTGTTGACATCCATTAATTGGTGCAAAATATATTTGAATTGAGCACAAAGTGACTCTGAAAAGCAGTTGTAGTAACAGAGGCATTAATATTGTTCCTACTTGTGGAAACAGTGTGTCTCACCTGTCTCAGGTAGAGGAAGAAGCTGGAGTACTGGCCGGCCTCCGGCAGGTAGGACAGGAACACGGTTATGCAGATCAGGAGGACCGTCGGGTCCTGACCCACTTTCCTCAGAGACTGAAGGACACACACGCCGTCAGTTATTAATAAACTGTGTCCAAAAACCCAACAAATCAACCGAGGTGTAGAATTGGTTTGATTGGTTACTGACAGTGAAGGGATCGGCCTGCTCCCAGGATATGGGCGCCCCCCAGGTGTTGAGCCTCATCTTGTCTGGCAGAGACTCGGGCACGGCCAGTAGGATGAAGCAGATGTCGGCCAGGGCCACCAGCGTGGCCACCAGCACCACCAGGTTGTCTCCGTACCAGGCCGACAGGTAGGCCCCGATGGCCGGACTCGTCACCAGGCTGGCCGCGAAAGTAGCTGACACCTGGAGGTCGAGAGGGGAGAGCGAGGGCGGTGGATGGAAGAAGCAGCAAGGACGCTACTTCATTGGTTTAAGCCAAGAAGGAGCTTCTTCTGCGACGGAGAGACCTCAGTGTCATTACGGTCAAAATGATATGAAAATAATGCAGACACCAATGAAAGCGGTCTAATGGAATCCAGTTATGGCTCCAACACAGAGCAGCTCCGGTACACAATGTTGGCGCCTATATATATATATATATATATGTATATATATATATAAGGCTTTATAAAAAAGCTAAAAGTGTCTTAAAAAAAGCTGGAGAAAACCAAGCTCATTCCACTACAAATCATAATCCATATATAGTACTCAATACGCTCTGTTTTGTTTTTGTTCATGACCATGATGTTGATTATTGAATAAGATTATTTTTAGTCAGGGGTCTTCTCAACATGAGCTTATTTCATCAAGGGAATTTGTGCTGCAATATTTAAATGAACCCACTGATTTAAAAAAAAATCTCTATTTCACAAAGAGAAAACTGGTCGATTGTGTTCCAGGTTTCCCAGGACACACGGTAATCACTCATCATCACAGGAGGCGTCTGTATTTGACCTCTTCAACTCTCCTTTCAACGTGCACACTTGAAGATGAGCATGTTCTTCACTAACGTGACAGTCTCATTCGTGCGGTGAACACACATTTGAAGATGCACAACACGCTGCTTACCAGACCGTAGGCTGTGCTCCGCTCTCTTTCGTCCGTCACATCGGCCACGTAGGCGAAGATCACGGAGAAGGTGACGGAGAAAGCTCCGGACATGGAGATCATGGCGAAGTACCACCTGCAGAGGGAGGTGAGAACCTCTTGAGAGCTGGACAACTTCAGCAAGGCCAAAGAGGACTCTTATTTCCCGTTGAATGTAAAAGCGTGTGGATCCAATAAATAAATGGACTATATTTCTCTTTTCTAGTCTTCTGATCACTTAAAGCGCTCCAACACAACATGTCATCATTCATCCGTTCACACACCGTAGTCACAACTACGGGAGCAAATTGGTCTTAAGTGTCTTGCCCAAGGACACACAGACGGGCCGATCAAACTGCCGATGCACTGATTGAAAGACGCCCCCTGCTCTCCACTGAGCCACAGTCGCCGCCTTCACTACACAATCCGATTTCCAGAGCAGTCGCCCCCTGCAGGTCATTAGAGAGAACGCAAGTTAAAGACACTGACGTCCACGTTCATAACACAGCTGTGAGGCTCCCGCGTGTCCCCCTCGACTCACTACTCTGCTGTACCTCCATCTGCCTCTGGTCGTCATTGTGCCTACAAAGACCATGGTGAGTCTTACCAGGGGCTGAGCCTCATCAGCGGGATCGGAGCGCAGGTGAAGAAGACGGTGACCAGGAGGAAGGTCCGCCGGCCCCACACGTCCGACAACGCGCCGATCAGAGGAGCAGACATGAAGGACAGCAGACCCTTGATGTGGAGAGGCGGGGTCAGTGGAAAAACACACAATCCTCGCCAGCAGGAGTGAAGGATCACGACTGTGTGCAGACTGTGAAGCCCTCTGAGGCAAATTTGTCATTTGAGATTTTGGGCTGTACAAAATAAATTGAAATGTTAGATCTACGGTACGAGTGCAAAGACACTGTGTAAGATCTTACCTTCACGCCCTGAATGAGGCCGTTCATCAGGAACGTGTGCTGGGGAAAGGTCTCATGTAAAACCTGTGGATAGAGAAACAACACCGAGGATCAGTAAAACTAACACATTACAAAGTTAAGGCAACAAAGTGAAAGGAAAAAGAATCCACTTGACTTGGTTTTGTACGTTGCACCATGACAGAGCAATGAATCAGCTGAATGTTGGTATTAAAAGACCTTCCAGTGTGACCCCTAGGTTTACAACCTGGTGAGGGGGGAGGGGGGCTCTGTATAACGTTCCCCACAGCGCTTCATTCAGCGGGGCCTTCTCTCACATATTACAGCTGGGTATTAACTCATATCTTTCCATTCTGTACCTGAGTTATGTAGGAATACAAAACATCCCTTCATTGAAAAGCACCTGGGCATAATGATACACGTGCCCCACGTTCATTTATTCAAAAGGGCCGTTGCTGAACCGTGCAGTGGCACTCACAACCCTCCGCTTGGATTCCAACTGGAGACTAATGTCTCTTGTATACCGCTGATTGTAGACGTGGATCTGGGGATTTAAAGGCAACTAGACGTGTCATTAATGTTTCTACAATAAGTGGAGACAACTACAAAAATGTTACTATGATCTCCCCGTTAGAAATCGGCAGCTTGGCTGTTGATGCCAACCTGCCGCCTGCCACGGTGGGTGAGTGGGGACACGTCGTCCTCCAATCAGAGGGTTGGCGGTTCGATCTCAGGCCCGGCTAACCCAAATGTCCATGTGTCCTTGAGCAAGACACTTACCCCAACACGGCTCCTGTAGCTGCGACTACAGAGTGTGAATGTTAGTTACTGAGTGTGTGTGTCATCAGTGTGTGAATGGGTGTGAATGGCTGAATGATGTCATGTTGAAGTGATTACTCACAGTGAGCATGGGAGTGGTGAGTAATCCCCAAGCGAAGAACTCCAGGAAGATCACCACCACGGCGTGGTACACACTGGGCCTGCCGATGCCCTGCTGGAGCTGCAGTACAAACAGATGTCAATGTGACCGCACAGTTAAAGGGCCACTTCACCAAACCCACACCATCGATCCTCACATGGTACGTCGTTAGGACCTAGACACAAAAGACTGGTAACAGAAAGCCCACTGAGTGGGAGGACTTGTTTCCATGCAGCCTAACAAAAGATTGCACCAAACCGAATGATGGAGATTGTAGGATGTGAATGAATCATTCACAATTAATTATTGTTTTAGATCTGTTGCATTCATTGTCAAAACATTCTTTTGTCAGCCAGTAAGAGAAATCATCATCGTTGCCAGTGTGAGGGCCTTTACTGACTGACACCTGCTGTGTACAATGTGTACAAATATCTTACTCTGTATTTGTGAACCATCATTGTATTGCTTTAACCGGCAGCTTCATCCAGAAATAAAACCCAGATAACTAACAGGAGAACTTATTGTGGAAGTGAATAACTATTCATTCCTTTAAGCAAAAGGACATTTTAGAACAAGAGACCAGTAGAACGAAAAGAAATATATATAAAGAAATACATATAAAATGTGCAGATAAGAACCTTTGCATAATGACATCTTATTAGAGCGTACAGGCAATTGTTGACTCCGTTCTACTGAGGTTAACCTGTAGACTACGACCTACCGGGAGGTTAACCTCTAGACTACGACCTACCCAAGGTTAACCTGTAGACTACAACCTACCCGAGGTTAGCCTGTAGACTACGACCTAACCAAGGATAACCTGTAGACTATGACCTACCTGAGATTAACCTGTAGATTACGACCTACCCGAGGTTAACCTGTAGACTACAACCTACCCGAGGTTAGCCTGTAGACTACGACCTAACCAAGGATAACCTGTAGACTATGACCTACCTGAGATTAACCTGTAGATTACGACCTACCCGAGGTTAACCTGTAGACTACAACCTACCCAAGGTTAGCCTGTAGACTACGACCTAACCAAGGATAACCTGTAGACTATGACCTACCTGAGATTAACCTGTAGATTACGACCTACCCGAGGTTAACCTGTAGACTACGACCTACCCGAGGTTAGCCTGTAGACTACGACCTAACCAAGGATAACCTGTAGACTATGACCTACCTGAGATTAACCTGTAGATTACGACCTACCCGAGGTTAACCTGTAGAATAGGACCTACCTGAGATTAACCTGTAGATTACGACCTACCTGAGATTAACCTGTAGATTACGACCTACCCGAGGTTAACCTGTAGAATAGGACCTAACCAAGGATAACCTGTAGACTATGACCTACCTGAGATTAACCTGTAGATTACGACCTACCTGAGATTAACCTGTAGATTACGACCTACCCGAGGTTAACCTGTAGAATAGGACCTACCCGAGGTTAACCTGTAGAATAGGACCTACCTAAGATTAACCTGTAGATTACGACCTACCTGAGATTAACCTGTAGATTACGACCTACCCGAGGTTAACCTGTAGAATAGGACCTAACCAAGGATAACCTGTAGACTATGACCTACCTGAGATTAACCTGTAGATTACGACCTACCTGAGATTAACCTGTAGATTACGACCTACCCGAGGTTAACCTGTAGAATAGGACCTACCCGATGTTTGATTGTAGACTAAACCACAAACCCATTTGTTCAGTGTCATTGATTGTATATGACTTTAACTGATAACATAATGTACGCTTTGTATGGTCACAAAATTCATAGTTAATAAACCTCTAATTCTACCACTACAGCACTGACTATGACCTACCTTCAGTTTAGCTTTAGACGTCGACCTACCTGAGGTTAAACTGTGTAATGTGACCTACCGGGTCAGGCTGTATGCTATGACGTAGCACAGGTACGCTGTAGGGTGAGGCCTGGCTCCCCCCCCCATTTTATTTGAACTAATAATTAATTTACATTTGAATGGAATAACAAATCCGTAAATCTTTGCTTTCAGAAGTTGAACAAAATATAAGTTTAGAACTCTTGTTTTCGTTGTTTGTCTAATGTCTTGTTGCAACTAACGACTGTTTTCATTAGTTTTTTCCCAATAGATCTATTACTGTTCCATCAATACAACATGTTAACAGCCTGTCTGTGTGGTGTTAAAACAATGCCATTGTTGGGGAGATGTGAAGATGGAGGCTGACGGAGCGTTGGATGTGTATCTCAGGCTGTTATGTAACAGATAATGGATCCATCCTGACCAGCATCATCCTCACACTAAGCTGAGCTGCCTGCGCCCTGTCTCCATTACACACACACACACACACACACACACACACACACACACACACACTCTCTGACACACACACACCTCCATCCAACAAAACACAGCCATTTTGGACCACAGCTGGTTCAGCTCTCATTTTCTCTGTAGGGTTCATTTGATCATCTCGAACATTTTGTCCATTTGTGTGATTTAATACGTATATGAACAAAATATATATTTTTTAAAATTCAAAACATTTTTTATTGGAGGCGGTTGTTTTAAACCAGCCTCATATCAAGTCAACCATTTAAGTGTGTTTATGATTGATGTCTGCTATTAAATGCGCACCGGATTTTAAAAAGGAACCTACGTCATGTTTTAATGAGCTGTTATGTCATAGGTCGTTTTATGTTGTTATTATGTTGTTGTTATGATATTTTTAACAGAAATTAAAGCTAATGTAAAAAGCGATGTAAATAACAACAGATATAACAGATATATATATATATATTATACGGGCTGTTGAACGCTTAATAAAATATCTTAAAAATGGTGGTTGGCCTCCACCCACCGCAGCTTCATCCTTCATGATGATCTTCTTGACGAGCACCACCCGTCCGGTTCCCGCCGGCTGCTCCCCCGGCATCTCTTCACACCTGCCGCGGGTCACGAAGCATCCATGCCGCGTAGATATGCGCGGTTCTCCGGGTGCTTCCAGCGTTCCTGGTTGAGTGGCCCCGGCGAGGCTGGACCGAGCTGACGGTGGTAACGGGGACGTTGGCGGCGCTGAGATGGCGTCGCTGTTCACGGCGTCTCGCTTCGGATGTGCCGACGGGTCAGCCGTTGGTCCGCAGTGTTTGCGCACGCTCACACCGCCAAGTTGCCCTGACAACAGGGCAGTGCTTCCGGTTTGTATTTCTTCAAACTAAAAGCGACATGTGTTTTTACCCGCCTATTCTAAACCAAGTGTTTCAAACCGAGTTCATAAAATCCAAAATTCCAATCGTGAGGTGTGTAAGAGCACACATGTACCATAGGTATAGTTTGCATCACATGTAGATCTGCCCCTGAACTTTATATTACAAATGACTCATATTTCAAATGTTTCTTTTTTATAGTCAGCAAAAATTGGCACCAAAATCCAACTAATGTGTATGTGGTGCAACATTTAGGTATTTATTAGTATTCAATGACTAGAAACGTAACTGGTTCTTGACTAACTGAGGACTACCTACTGACTAGTATGAACCTTATTTTTCGTTTTCCCGTCTCTTTCAAGAAATCAGCATTTATTTTGAAAGTCAGTTGCTCTTCTACCGGTCTCACCGACTGCACTTCAAATGCGGTTCGGTTGGATCCAGTCTAACCGGTCCATTCAGGACGTTACAGAAAAGCTACACTTACAGAGAGCAATTATTTGTAAACCCCCAAAATATGAACAGTATCGATATGACCAATTAACGGAATGACAACACTAACCTGGATCCCGCGGACCGATCGGCTCGTCCTTCCTAGACCGGAAGTAGGATACTGCCCTCACAATAAAAGCGCTACGTCAGAAAACAGACCGTAAAGTGTAAACATATTTGTTTGTACTGAAGAGATTTTTGTTTGGCATTAACATATTCTGACCATATCAAAACAAGCCATTCATCCAGAGACGGGGACATTATCATAACGACAAATGGCATAGTACGTTTGTTTTTATTTTGAAAAGCTGATTCGGATTGCTGTGGCTGGACGGAGCTTGACAGGCAGCGCATGTCACGTGTCGGTGGCTGAGGTCGTGTCTGCATGCGCGTGTCTGCACGAATAGAACGTGATTAAAAAAGTGGTGACGTTGGTGAACGTGACCAGTTGGCTTCCATCATCAATCATCAGAGGATCAAATACTGAATACTTCATTATCAGTTCTTCGACAATCGGAATTATATAATAATGATGTCACTCTTTTTTAAAACCTCTTAATCAGCACACGGTCACAGAAGAGGCACACATACATTTGAAATGAAATCAAGGTCATTTAGGTTTTGAAAGGTCCATATGATGCCAGATTTACAGTGGCTTATTTCCCAAGTGAGAACTACGCATATAATGGGTTTAAAGTGCTCTGAATAAGGAGACAACCAGATGAGAAAAATATTTTATAATTGTTATTAAAAATAAATATTTGATTAAGTAATAATCAGCCATCACAATAGTTTATAAAGGTGGCATATATATTCTTCTAATTCTGCAGCCTGTTAGTGTTTACAGCTTTTTATAGTAATAAAGGCATCAGAGGTAGTAAAAAGCTAATAGTAATAGTTAGTAGTAGTAGTAGTTAGTTAGTTAGTTTTACAGTCCGACACACATTCCGTCTTACTGCTTCTAGGTCTCGATTAAGTATTTACACAAATCATCAAACACAAGCAATAAGTACATACAGGAGTTCAAGATGATAATACTCATCTTAAGTAGCTGCTTTAATTATAGTACTTTATACCCCAGAATAATTTGAATGTTTACTTAAGTAGGTTTTTACTTCTGCAAAAAAGCAATAAGAACAGCACCCAAGATGATCGTCTTGTATCAGCCCTCTCGCCTTGTCCTACCAAATGCTGAGCTGCTCCGCTGTGTTCAAAACGCGTCGCTGGGCAACAGGGCACCTGCAGAGGAAAGTGTGTGTTGTTACCTGTAAATCGACACTCGCGGGACGGCAGTCGCACTGTGAAACTCATCTGTGGTTCAGTGCAGCTTCAATGAAACACAGACAACCTCAACTAAAAGACCCAGAAGTGGAACCAAGAAGATGGCATTAGCCAGCGGCCATTGGCTGGAGAAAGAGGTGAGGGGAGAAGCCCCACGTCCCAGGTGGGTCTCATTATTGTGTACGACGGTCTAAAACGGATATTTCATCCATTCTGCAGGATGCTGTTCAGCCATGTGACGATATGAATTCATTTACGCCGGACTGCTGCCGTGATGCAGATATTTCAAAGTGTTTTCTGTGGTGGCGTTTGGTTGTTTGACAGAAACCATTGTGTCGTCCAATGTCTCATGTTGCAGACATGGCCACGCTTTAGCTTTGGCAGGAAACGTCGCCTTCCTGTTCGGAGGAGCTTCCAGCAACAACAAAGAGGTGACTGAACTCAGTTCATTTTTACAAGAGAAGCCTGCTTTTCATTTACACACCAAAAATGGCCAAACAGAGAATCTGGTAATGGTCTGAGACATTTCTTCTCATTCATCTAGGAGGACATCAATGTTTACTTCAACGACTTCTACATGCTAACAGGTACAGATGAAAATGTAGACCATACATAGAACAACTCTATTTTAAGGTGGAGGATACGTACAGCAGCTTTTGAATCTCTTGGCAGATGGATATATCTCATTTCCAAATGTTTCATAAATCCTTTCTTGAGTTTGGGGATATCATGATATATTTCAATATGTGCTTTAATTAAGCATGACTTTATTACTTGTGTATTTAGTTCTTTACACATCATTTCTCATTAAATACAATGTATGAAGTAAGATTTTGTGGTTGTTTGTAGTGTCTCCTGATGATGTGACGTGGGAGGAGATACCTCAGCGCGGAGAAGTTCCCACAGCCAGAGAAGGACACACTCTTTGGTAAACCACAGCACTGACTCGGTTAGCTGGTCCTGCAGCGGCCAGCGACGTGTATTAGCTTACGAAGACCACGGTGGCACATGGTGCTCTTGTGTTAGCTCGTACTGTATGTTGAATCGGTAGCGTCACGCATTGAGCGTGCACAGTCACGTATTTCGGTCAGAAGTCGGACCGCCTCGGGTCCGAGCGTCGCCAAGACCCGAGTGAGCAGAATACAGTTATTGTGTTTAGGTTTGCTAACTCACCCAAACCACACAGAACCACCCTGTAATCAGACACTGACAGAAACTGCTAAGCGACAATCCTTGTGGCTTCCTTGTTCCCCGTTGCACATTTCAAAGAATGGCATAAATGTAGTTTTAATGAATCCTGATGTTCGACATACCCAGTGAAAAGCTGACTTCAACGTGAAAATACAGAACGTATTGCTTTGTAGTGCAATCAAATAAGGGTGGGAGAGACCAGCGTAATATGCTTGTTCTATTGGCCAAACGCTCTCCATCTGTACATTTACACTTTTTAACGAAACAGTAAGATCTCTACACTGTGATGCAGGGCCTGTTGTATAAGGTTTTTGACGGGGTCCCGTGTACAGGGCAGCAGAGACTCTCTCATCCGGCATTTGCCTCTTTTTAAGTGTCGTGAAAGGAAAGCTGTATCTGTTTGGCGGAGCGTCCGGCTACGACGCCACTGAGTGTCTCCCGGGAGTCTACAGCTTTGACATCGGTGAGGAAGTCACAGGTCCAGCCTGCTCGGTGCTCCACTAAAACAAAGCCGGACAACAGGGTGACATATTTACATTTCTAATAGTGTCTCTGACTTGGGACCGCTTGGCAGTCGGCGGCGTGGCCCTCAGAACCCTCAGACACGGCGCCGTTGCCGTGGGAGACAACATCTACGTGTACGGAGGCGTTCTGAGAGGGAATCCGACCGACGACCTCATGGTCTTCAACACAGGTCACATGATCATCGTCATCTTACTTAGAGGACCGTACCTGTGGCTGTTAGGGTGCACGTCACTGTATGTTTTCTCTCTGCCCCGTTTCAGCGTCTCTCACCTGGACGCCGGTCAAAACCAGCGGATCGCTTCCTCCGGCCCTGTGAGACACTTATTAAACGTTCCACCGAGTATTCCTCACAGGACTGTTTCATTGGATTATATTAAAATGCTCAGGGGTCGGCAGTGACACACACTTGTGTGTGTTTATTGAATGTGTGTGTGTGTGTAGGTGGGGTCAGAGTTTTGCTCTGGTGGGGGATCAGGTGTTCATGTCCGGAGGTTATGAAGCAGGTGGAGTCTTCTGCAACAACTTCCATGTTCTCAATACAGGTAAGAAGAGACGGATTCAGAAGAAATGTGAGGTTTGTTTTTTATTGAACTGCCGTCAGTGTCGGCTGGTCCACAGGGGGCCATCGGGGTGTGGCCCGCGGCGGGGCCATCGGGGTGTGGTCCACAGGGGCCATCGGGGTGTGGCCCCGCGGCGGGGCCATCGGGGTGTGGTCCACAGGGGGCCATCGGGGTGTGGCCCCCTGTGGACCACAATCCTTCCATTATTTTTCCGACAAGTGCTTCATGTCCCTTACTCACGTATCTGCTGGATTCTGTCCCTGTTGACTTAAAAAGCATGAGAAGCTAAACGCGTCGTTGGCACGTAGCTAACTAGCTAGCTAGCCTCTCTACAGAAGCTTTGTACATGCGGCTTCCCTGTCACGCCGGTCCGTTGCCTGATGTAAGGTCGGCTGATCTGAGTCCAGTTGTTTTACCTCTAGTTGCTCCGGTTCTTCTCTCTAACGGGTGTTGGAGGGGAGGGGCTCACGGTGGGGCCACGCCCCATTTCCCTCTGTGTATTAAATAGGGTGACGTGTGGTCTCCACAGATCATACTTTGACTTTTGGGTTTCACCCGTTTCTTTAGAGACTTTGCAGTGGCAGAAATGGGAGGTGAAGGGAGACGCACCAGCAGCCTGCAGCGGACAGACACTGACTGCACACCACGATAAAGTACACACACGCACACACAGGCAGGTTTATTAGGACTCAAATTGGCTAAACCTTTTTAAACACGTCTTACTGGGTCAGACAAGGGAACGGGTACAGGAGCTGATGGAGTCTGACCTGCTGATGCAATGATACAACATGGACAGACGCAGCTCAGACTATTCACCTCAAATATGTCTTGTTTGTTTTGGTGGTGATGAATATTCCTCATCTTTATCACCATGAATACTAAGTTTGAGTGGGAAGTACTATTTTTGAAATTAACCAATTATCTCATCCAGCACACATAAACAATATATAGAAAGAGAAATCAAAGGTAGTGCATGTATAAATTAGTGTAAAATAATATAATATTTTCCCATTTATTAATGACTCTGCCTCGATCCCGTGCAGGATATCTACCTGTTCGGTGGCAAAACCACAAATGAGGACGGCACGGTGACGCCTTCCAATGAAATCCACAAACTCAGTATTTGTGAGTAGTTGTGAGCTCACAGATTAAAATAGGAGTTACTGTACGTAAAGTTTGAGTCACATCTTTTCTTTTCAGCTAAGATGAAGTGGAAGGTTCCTCTGTACGTTGGAATTCCTCCGGCCCGACGCCACGGACACAGCGCCTTCATTCTCCACAGCCACGTCAGTACCACGTCGGACGAGATTCGCTGTCCTCGAGTCTTATAATATGAACCTTTTGTTGTGGCTGGCAGCTGTATGTGTTTGGAGGGAAGAACGAGGAGCAGGAGTTCAATGACCTAAGAGTGATGAAGCTCATTAACCCCTCAGAGAGACAACCAGGTACATTTATGTCATTCGCTTCTCTGAACCGAACATAATGTGAGTGGGATCAACTACAGACACTTTAATCCAGACAAGGGGTTTTGAATATCACAGCCTTTGGACCTAAATGCTATTTAAGGTGATACAGAAGTCCCATGGGCCTCGCAGTGTTGAAACGTGAAGCCCTTTCTCCACAGTGATGAGGGAGATCCTGTCAGAGTTCGGTCTGCAGGGAGTCAGCCACAGGTCAGCCGCTGCTGGGCTTCATCCCCCGTGGAGCGTGTGTCTGCAGATCTAGAGCTCACTTCACGACTGAGTCTCATCTCTGGCTTTTAACAACCTGCTTTCCTTCTGGTTTTGATCGCTAAACAGTTTCACCCCCACGAAGATTCCCAACGTTCGCTACGAGCTGAGCGAGTCCGCTCCGCTCGAGCAGCCCAGAAACACGGCAGCTACTGCGCAGGTGATGACGCCATGAATCTGCTGAGGTTACAGCATTGAAAAAGAAATCAACCTAAAGATGTTCTGTTTTGCAACTGCATCCTGCACCCGACATCATAAAGGGACGAGTTTAATGTATAATTGTTGTGGTATTGTGTAGCAGTGGCAGCAGCAGTAGCAGTAGTAGATGTGGTAGTGGGTGTTGTGACAGTAGCAGCAGCAGTAGTAGGAGTAGTAGTAGTAGCAGTAGCAGCAGTAGCAGTAGCAGTAGCAGCAGTAGCAGTTGTAGTAGCAGCAGCAGCAGTAGCAGTTGTAGTAGCAGTAGCAGTAGCAGTAGTAGCAGCAGCAGTAGCAGTAGCAGCAGTAGCAGTTGTAGTAGCAGTACCAGTAGCAGTAGTAGCAGTAGCAGTAGCAGCAGCAGTTGTAGTAGCAGCAGCAGCAGTAGCAGTTGTAGTAGCAGTAGCAGTAGTAGCAGTAGCAGTAGCAGCAGTAGCAGTAGTAGCAGTAGTAGTAGCAGCAGTAGTAGCAGCAGTAGCAGTAGTAGCAGTAGTAGCAGCAGCAGTAGCGTAGCAGTAGCAGTAGTAGCAGTAGCAGTAGTAGCAGCAGCAGTAGCGTAGCAGTAGCAGTAGTAGCAGCAGCAGCAGTAGTAGCAGCAGTAGTAGCAGCAGCAGTAGCTTAGCAGTAGCAGTAGTAGCAGTAGCAGCAGCAGCAGCTGAGCAGCAGTAGTAGTAGCAGCAGTAGCAGTAGTAGTAGTAGTAGCAGCAGCAGCAGCAGTAGTAGCAGCAGTAGCAGTAGTAGTAGTAGCAGTAGTAGTAGTAGCAGCAGTAGCCGTAGTAGTAGCGGTAGTAGCAGTAGTAGCAGCAGCAGTAGCCGTAGCAGTAGTAGCAGCAGCAGTAGTAGCAGCAGTAGCAGCAGTAGCAGCAGTAGTAGCAGTAGTAGCAGTAGTAGTAGCAGTAGTAGTAGCAGTAGTAGCAGCAGCAGCAGTAGTAGCAGTAGTAGCAGCAGCAGTAGCCGTAGCAGTAGTAGCAGCAGCAGTAGTAGCAGCAGTAGCAGCAGTAGCAGCAGTAGTAGCAGTAGTAGCAGCAGTAGCAGTAGTAGTAGTAGCAGCAGTAGCAGTAGTAGTAGCAGTAGTAGTAGTAGCAGTAGCAGCAGCAGCAGCAGCAGTAGCAGTAGTAGTAGCAGTAGCAGTAGTAGCAGTAGCAGCAGTAGCCGTAGCAGTAGTACTAGCAGCAGCAGCAGCAGTAGTAGTAGCAGCAGTAGCAGTAGCAGCAGTAGCAGCAGCAGCAGTAGCAGTAGCAGTAGTAGCAGTAGTAGTAGCGTGTTGCAGTGGCAGCAGAAGTAGTATTCTAACGTCAGAAGTGGTACTTGCGGTAGTCCTTAGCAGTGTAGCAGTGTAGCACGGACAGTCGAAGGCGAACAGTACTGGTTGTAGCAGTATAATTTGTAGTAGCAGCAGTAGTAATTAATGTACTCTCACTATCACTGGTAACATAGGGTTTCTTTGTGCAGGCGGTTCTCTACAGAGACTTCAGTGCAGCTCGAGATGAGGCCATGAGAAAAATCCAGGCAGCCTTTACTCTGCTTGACCAGGAGTTCCAGAACGTGGATCGGTACACGTACACCCTTGTGTAGTACCATTTTTGTATATTTTGTTGACATTATTTAATTTCTTCTTTAATACATGTTTAATAGGGCTGGGCACGCTGACGCCTTACGAACACATTAATGTAGCAATCCATTAACTCCACAATTATTTGCGTTAACAGCATTTATTTTTTGAGCATTGGGAGGGGCTCGACACTGCAGCGCACACAAAGATAAATCACTTTTAAATGGACACTTTCATTTAAAATCTCTACCAGACAGCGTAATCAACAAAAGCAAAGCTCTTAGCGCTGTAAACTGAGTACTACAAGCCTGAAGTACCACTTGAAGGCGTTACACAGCTACCAACCACACGGCAAACCACCAGTGGACTGAGACTTCAGCAGGCTACTGTGAACTGCCAAAGACGCAACGCAAGACAAAGTCGGAGGAATGGATGAAGAAAGTGGATGTTAAAAGTTCATTTTGTCATTGTGTAAATGTTTTTTTTCTTTCCGTGACTCACATTGTCCAAAGCAAATCCATTGGCTTTGCAGACTAAAAAGTTCCCTGCACAGTAAATACCAGCGGTGGCCTTTGTGCGAGAACACTTTGCCTCCCTGTGACAGGGACCTTACAGGCGGGGTGCTTTGATACCCCTTGAATTGGCACAGACTGTCTGGTTGAAGAGAGGTACCAGCAGCCGGGCTGCCTCTCGTTGGCAGCGTCCCAGACCTCCACTCAATGTTGAAGAGGCGTGTCAACCAAAATAGTGCGAGCGCCCCAGCTCTCCTTCCACCGCCCAATAGCCTCCTCAGTTGCGGTCAGCGGCGTCCCATTCTCAGTGTGAGCTGGAGGATCTCTTGTTGCCCCCTTCTGAGGGAAAGTTTTCCAGAAGACTGAGACGGATTTCATAACCCGGTTAAAAAACAATGTCTCACACAAGTTGACCTTCAGTGGAAAACAGATAGAGTTGCGGCGACCTTGGAAAGATCATCTGGTTGACTGATTAACTTATTCTTTCTCCCAGAGAGAGGTCAGATTTATCTCAAGCTGTTGTGGCGCTGCAAAGAGAGAAGGAAGGTCATGAAGCCTGCAGACAACAACAGCAACAGGTTCCATTCCCTTTATTTCAACATATGAGCTTATTGCATTCTATATAATATACTAGTTATTCTGATTTAAAACTAATCTAATCAACTGTAAAACATTCTCGCTAACAGGTGTTTTGTTAATGTGTTATTGCTAACTTGCTAAACATGTTGGCATGTTAAATCAGGCTGTCTGGATACACGTTGTGTGTGTGTCAGGAGCTGCAGGAGATGCTGGACAGACATCGCTCTCAGAACGAGGCGTGGCTCCGAGCGAGAGCGGAGGAGAACGACCGAGAGAGGAGGGAGCTCTGCAGACTCCGGGTCAGTAGACACACGCCACTTCACGCCAGCCTCTTCTCCATTTCCTCTTCTGCAGACTCTCTGTGCGGTTTCTTTAACATCTCCCACCCGGCCACTTTTCTTTTTGATCACACGGCTCTTCTTTAAGGTCTTCTGCTTCTTAAAATGATGAAGAGAAAAGACCTCTCATAAAATATATTTGGATTTTTGCGTTTAAATGAACTCTGTCCTCTGTCTGGTCCTCAGGAGGAGGTGCTGCAGGAGCAGGAGAGGCTGAAGGAGGAGCAGAACAGCATCCAGAAACGCAGCGAGCACCTTCTGTCCATCATGCAGCAGTTCAAAGGAATGTGAGATGGACAGAGGGAGAACGACATAGACCATCTTGGCTCTACATCACATCACATGTCATTTATCTGACGCTTTTGTCCAAAGCGACTTACAATAAGAACATTTCAACCAGAAGGAAACAAACTCAGAAGAACAAGAAACAAGAAAGTGCAATTTCATCAAATAAGCCGATTAATAACTTGCTGTAGATAAGAACCATTATAAGTCCAATGTAAGTGCTACAGTTAGTGTGTTAGTGGAGGTAGAGTGTGAAGAGGTGTGTCTTTAGTCTGAAGATGTGAAGGCTCTCTGTGGTCCTGATGTCTTCAGAGACCTCCTTCCACCATTTAGGAGCAGGACAGCAAAGAGTGGAGATCTAGTCGAGTGTTTTGCTCTCAGTGAGGAGGAACAAGCAGTTTATCACATGCAGAGCGGAGAGGTCAGAGGTCGGGATGTCGGGTTGGACCAGGTCCTGGATGCAGACGGGACGGAGGAGTGGGAGAAGCTGCTGCATTCTGGATGAGCTGCAGAGGTCGAATGGACCCTGTTCTTGTGATGGGGATTACCTGACAGGGGGAAACTAACTGGATTAAAAGCACCTTCTAGATTGTATTGTTAAGTGTTCATAACACTGAAAACAACGTTTGCATTGGATTGATTCAGATGTCATACGTTGTTATGAATAACATAATAAACACTGAATTACAAAGGTCACATGGTGTAAATTAGTCATTTATTATCACATCTTGGACAGGAGAATTAAATAGGAAAATGTTGCGGTCAAGACACAGATCGTATCATGACATTACTTTTATAAGTGATCAACTGAAAGGTCCTTTCTGCTCGTGTCTGTCTGTCTTTCTCTCTGTGTCTACATGTCTCTGTCTCTCTGTCTGTCTCCTCCACTGTCGCATTCAACAGCAGAGCAGATCACTATTTAGCAACGTAAAGCAGCGTAATGCGGCAGCCGGTGTCGCTGTATTCTCTGTATCTGGCAGAGCGCAGCATGGGCGGAGAGAGAGAGAGAGAGAGAGAGAGTCTGCAGCATTACGACCGGAAGTGAGGCGATAGAAAAAATAAGAGACTATTGTTGGACTTTTGTTACAGCCTAGTCTTTCTTACCTCTTCCATATTCATTCTCAGCGGGAATGTCTTAAATGTATTTATGACCCTCATTTGATGGATGTTCGTTATATTAACTCTATAAAAATGGATCTAAAAAGTCAAACAAGAAAGGAGTAAAATGAAAATGATTTTGTATTTCTTAGTTATAGATTAGACATATTTAGTTGTTTTCATTCAGATCATTTAAATGTATAGTCTTAATACCCTTTAATGGATGCACAGATATTCAACTGACATGCACCTGGAATAAGACTATATTTGATGATAATCCCGCGCATAAAGGTAGCATTGGGGCATACGGCTCAAGCGCCGTATTAATTGCATTGATGTGATTGTCTACATTTGTAACATGTACTTGTATCTATCGTCATCGCTCGTTCCTGTCACTGGCGCTTTTATTGTGAAAGCCTGAACCGGACGTCTTCCTTTTGTATCTTCTACGTGTTAACTTTCCACGGTGAGATGGCTGTGGAGTCTCTGCTGGTTCCTGTAAAGTACAAACGGGCTCTGTGGATAAACAGCAGGAGGCGAGAAAACCCGCCGCAGTTCGCTTCGAACTCCAATTTTTAAAAATAACAACGGTAAGACAGAAACACATACGCAGCTGTCTCTCGTTAGCTAGCTAGTCAGCCCTCAGGTAAACAGCCAAAGGAAGCACACTGAGCGCTCGTTTTATCGCTGGCGTTCTCCCGCCGACGGTTGGTCTGTCGGGGGAGGGGCGGGGAAGCACCGGCAGCGCGAGACCAAACCCGGTTCACTGCCGTCTCTCTGACGGGGATCGCTCTGCGTTTGCCGCAGAGATCCCCTCCACGGTGCCCGCGCCGGGCACTTTCCTCAGGTCCCTTTCCCGCCCCTTCGCTCTGGGGCGGTACGTAAAAGTAGCAAAAAGACGAGCAACATGGCTGACTGGCCATTCACAACCTGCTCGGTCTCGTGCCTGTGTGGGTGGTGTCACGGCTCCTGCCTGCATACATCCATGTATTGTAGCTGGAGAGGTAGCTGATGAACTAAGCACAGCCAACACGTGGCTAATACATCTGTCAGGGGAAACGGAAGCCAGTGAATACCCTTTGAAATCTAAACAGAGTTTGGTTTGCAGGAGCAGTTACTGAATTAAAAATGAATTGAATTAAGTAGTAACTTGTGGTGGCGGCCACGCCCCTTTACCCGCCCGGGTCCAAGGCCACCTGCAGTGCGAGGGTGCAGGTGCAGCCACAGGCGGATCAACCCGAGATTACAGCAGTCGGTCATCATAGATGGGGTTTGTGTGTGTTGTTTGTCTACTTGCGGAACCCCAAACGTGTATTATTTCAGTAACAGCGCTACACGGGCTACTTTCTTTAAAGCTACAGTTCACCCAAATCACAATAAAATCATGCTATCCCTCCAACACAGTTTGGGTTTTTATTTAACATTTGAAATAAGTGAATAATGTGGGTTTATGTATTCATTATTTTATCTTGTATAGTTTCTTTAAGGAAAAGCTGATTCTCTGGAGCAGTTTTGAGGGATGGACCCACACGTAAATCAAGTAGCGGTCTTGTACTTGTACCGGGGCGTACTTGTCTGACCCGGTACCACAACAGCGACCTGTGGTACCGGGTCAGCAACAACCTGATTTAACAACAGGTTAAATCCATCATTGATCACCACCTGCAGTGTATTTGCAATCCAGGTCCCCACTAAGTCTCTTATTCAGAGTCGGCCACAGTCAGAGGGAAGCTTATTAACTTAAGGTAATAGCTCTGTTAGCTCTGTTAGCGTTTCATGGGTGCTATCAAAGCATTTCTCCCACTTTATAGACCTGTTAACGCTTTGCGTTTATAGCAGCTAAAGCATTTCTGCAGGTCGAGCTCTGCTGCAGTGGAGCACCGCTGCTCAGCCAAATATATTCTTTACATTACAGCATGAATGGAGGCCACAAACGTTTCCACGGTTACAGCCCTGTTGCATTGTAGCAGGTACGCTAGCCAGAAAGGTTTCCACGGTAACAGCTCCGCTGGAGCAGGTAGGCTAGCCCAAGCTGTTTCCACGGTTACAACTGTTTAAAAATTGAACAGTGTTGCTTGCTGGAAATGTTACAGCTTTAGCTTTTATTTAACATCTAACAATATCGTTCTGAAAAGATTATCTTTAATTCTGTCCAGACATTTCCTGCTCATTATTGAGATGAGGGTTTTGTTGGTAATGAAAATAGATCATTAAGTTTCAACCTGGCCATAACTCAAAGAAAACCGACTGGGATGCTGACTAAGCACTTAAAAGTGTAGCTTTTTAAATGCAGAAAACCAGATGAAAAGATTTAGTTTTTGGCAAGTTGGGATAAAGTAGGACGACTAATCTCACACAGAAAACTCTAGCTTTGTTGTACTGGTTGAATCACGTCTGGGCAGTTGTGCGTCTTGATAAAATCCAGATGTTTTAGAGGAGAAACTTGCATTTCTGTGTGTGTGTGTGTGTGCGTGCGTGTGCACAGAGAACAATGTCGTTTTGCTCCAAATTCCAGGCTCTGATTTCACTGCATTGAAGTTGCATCCTGGGCAGGATGAGTTGGGGGCCGCGCTGCCCCTCATGACGACATCACATGTTGCCATTGGCAACAGGAGGGAAATCAACACCAGCTGCATACAGCCTGCCTGGGGATGTCTTGTTCTCGTTTTAACAGTTTATACGGTTTAAAATGACACATTTCCAGTTTTTCTTGCTGGGTTTTTAGGTGTTTCGGGGTCGGAGGTCTTGATCAGGGCCCATCGTGACGGAGCAGTGAGCGATCAAAGGGTCGGATGTGTTACACATAAATAATCCAAAACCTTCCTCACAGGCTCCACTGATCAATAATTGAACCTTTTGAAAGCCGATCGGCTGTGGGCGGAACCCCCGGTCCCAGATGAACGGGTTCTAACCGCACTCTAGAATACAACATGTCAGGAACTCCCAACTCCAACGGGGCTCTAGATGTAGGAGGTCATAGGTCAAGGTCACTGTGACCTCACGTCTGTCCCGTGACATCAGGAGCGCCTGAGCGGGTTTGTCACAAGTCAAGTCAAGTCAAGTCATTTTATTTTGTATAGCCCAGAATCGCAAATTACAAATTTGCCTCAGAGGGCTTTACAGTCTGTACACATACATCATCCTCTGCCCCGAAACCCACCGTCAAGTGGACAAGGCGTCCACTTGACGTCACGTGTGAGGTGTGCTGGTCACACGCGTCGCATCCTCTCCTTCACAACCTGCAATGGGTCCAGCTTTTCCAAAGCTTTCAGCCGCATCTCTTGTTCTTCCTCAGCTCTCCCGGCCTTTTCATCGCTTGATTGTCACCACATTAGGATGCTGTTAAACTTCCTCACAGGGGCCGTTTTATATCAGTGATAAAACTACAACTACAACCGATATCGTTTGACTTTTGTGTTCTTTCTGTCTCAGGTTCGATTCAGCGGATGAGCCGAAAATCTCAAAGGCTGGAAAACTGCTGAACATCAGCGCTCCAGAACACCCGTACAAGGTAAATCCTGCTGAACGTGCACTCGCGGTGTACTGCATGTGTGCGTGCCCCGCCAGCCGGCCCGTGCTCGCTGCTCGGCGCTGCTCTGGGACGCCGATGGCCTCCTCCAGTTCCTGCTCTGCAGAGCACTGTTAGCCTGGTTAGCACCGCTAGCCGCACTCGCGCGCAGCATTTAGCATTTTAACATGCTCATTTTTGTGGAAAGGACACACAGATGCAGCAGACACTCATTTCAAGGTGAAACAGAAACGGGTCTGTTGTTGTTGTTGCTCCTGCTTTCTACCACCAGATGTCAGTAACGGCTTCAGCAGGACACGCGTGTTGTGTGTTATTGCGCCCTGTGTTTCTCTGCTGCTGTTTAAGCCCTGGGCGGGTTTGTGTTGTAGCTGTGCGGCCGGGCAGCCCGGCTGCCTCCCAGCCTGCAGATGAATGAAGAGCCCTCCAGGACGCAGACACGCAGCTGATGCAGGTCAGAGGTCATCCCCACCGGCAGGGCGCGTAAATATTCAATCTATCGCTGCAACTTGCAGAGATGTTAAGATTATTTGTATGTAATCCGGCACTGACAGTGTTTGTAAACTGTGATTTTGTCATCAGAGATGCGTCATCGTCACATGGGGATGTAGAGCGAGAGGTCGAGAGGTCGAGAGGTTCTCACCCTGCTCATGTTTAAAGTATTTCCTTCGGGTTGACTTTAAACAGCAGTTTGTGATGATATGTTTTTAGAACGGGGGCTTTTGAGGTTTTTTTAATACAGCCTCCGCTCACCACTGATTTGTAGTATTATTTGAATACTTTAGGATTGATTCAATATAAATTATGCAACATCTCTAATAAATCCCTTTAAATCCAAGCAGGAAGTTGTAACTTGTAATGTGCTGTGTCTCCTCTGCAGGTGTTTCTGAAAACATGATGAAGAGGAAGAATCCCAACAAGTGAGCCACAATAATTGAACTCAAACAGAACAATAACATCAGTAAATAAAGTAATAAACACAAACGTCCTGACAGGAAACACAAGAGCAGTCTGAGTCCGACGAACCAAGTCCCGTCACAGCCCACACACAACATCGTCGGCTGCAGGATCCAACACGTGTGGAAAGAAGGGGGAGGACACGCGGTGTGGAAAGGAGCCGTGCTCGACCAGGTGAGCTGACGGGACTCTGGCAGATGGTACGAGATGACTCTGATCAGGAGACATCGCTGATCATGTGTGCGCACTCACCGGTACACACACGTTACACACAAATAACCCTGCTAAAAAACAAAGGAACCCTTGGGAAACAAATCACACGTCAATGTGAAACAAATGACGTTGGAGGTTGGACGGTTGAATGTCTTAGAACGAAATAAACGTTTCAGTCTACAGGAGGCTTCATCTTATAGACACCGCGAAAATGAAAGTGGAAAAATGATCCCGATATTCACCCGATCCCTAAAGGCAGTCAGACTGGCGTTCTGCAGAGGTCTGTGCGTGTTTCCATGGATACGTCCCCTCAGACCATCGGTGACGACCACCACGCTGAACCATACGTGCTCCTCAGCTTCTCCAGACCCTTGCACGTCTATCACAGGTGCTCAGGGGGAACCTGCTCTCATCTGTGAGAAGGACAGTGGTGGAGATCCTCAAGTCAATCCTAGTGATCTATAGCAAATGCCAATGGAGCTCCAGGGTGGACAGTGAGCACATGGCACACTACAAGACGTCATGCAATGAGGCCGCCCCCATGAAGTCTGTTTCTGATGGGCAGAGACATTCAGACCAGTGGCCTGCTGGAGGTCATTCTGTAGGACTCGGGCAGTACTCAACCTGTTCCTCCGTGCACAAAGCAGCAGATTTTGGTGCTGCTGATGGGTTGAGGACCTTCTACGGCCCCGTCCAGCTCTCCTAGAGTAACTGCCTGTCTCCTGAATCGCCTCCATGTCCTGGAGATTGTGCTGGGAGCCACATTAAATCTCCTTGTGCCATCCGGGAGGGGCTGGACACTGCAGAAGGGTTAAGAAATGGCCTCATGCTCCCTGTAGTGATGGTGACTCTAGCTAAAGCCAACATTAGTGGAAACCAGTCAGAGATCCATAGGGAGAAACTCCTGTTTTGGGGGCCGTCTCATTGTCGCCCCTCTAGTGCACCTGTTGTTATTCCATCAAATGCAGCTGAACCCGCTCTGCTACTTACTGACTGTCAGCAGCTGACTCAACGCCGTATCCTGATAAAAGATTGTTCCTTTGGTTATTTTGAGCTGCGTACATGTACGTGGAGAGCTGCTGAGGTCTCGGTACCAGATCTTCTTCTGCATCTTAAAGGACTGTGAAGACATAAATAACAGAATCCTGTTTGTTCCCACCAGGTCCCCGTGAACCCGTCTCTCTATCTGATAAAGTACGATGGCTTTGACTGCATTTACGGCCTGGAGCTTCACAATGATGAGAGGGTTCAGGGCCTGGAGGTCCTCCCGGACCGACTGGGTAAGACCGAACATCACGCAGCTCATGTAGTTTTTGGAGAAAGTCTAAATGTTTGATTTTTTAAATATCGCATAAAGAATTCCTTTCCGCAACAACTTGTGCCAGAAGATAACATGCTAGCATTAGCAGGATTAAACATTCACTCAATTAAGAAAACATTATTCTTTTAATTATTTTTTTGTCACCGTATTATTCAGTAAAATAATAATTAGTGCTGAGCAAAGCTAAACAATGAATGAATCACATGCACAAAATGACAACATTCATTTCAAAGGTTGGGCACTTTATTTGGGAAAAGACTTATAAGGTGTTTTTTAACAGCAGTAGTCCCTTTACAGAGCAACAGTTACCGTATTCTAACTTCAGCTTTATTCAATTAATTTGAAAAATAAAAATGAATGTAATCAAAAAAATAAAAATGAATGTAATCAAATATAAAAGCAAAGCAGTTGCCTCTGCAAGACCATCGATGTTGTATCTGGGTTGCAAAAAAAGAATAAGAATAAAAGAAAGTCAGTGATTCTAAACATCTCACCGCTCCGGTTTAAAGCGTCGGTGGCAAAACACTTTTCTTTTATATTTGATTTGATTGCATAGGTTTTTTTTTTTTTTACATTTGAAAATTGAATTAAGTTTAAATTGAGATTAACCGCAATAAAAAATTGGAATGTAGCACGTGTGTGTGTGTGTGTGTGTGTCACCATCAAGTAGATGTTCTCATCCCTTCCCACAGGCGTGTAAACATACTAATGACAGCACCTACACATGCTAAGATCAGCTTTTACATCAAAGTCCAGCTCATATTTCTGAAAGTGGAGTCAAGGCTTAATAGACACAAAGTCCCTCCGTTTCTCATCCGTTCTGTTTGCTTCCTTTGTAGTGCGAGTGTCTGAAGATGAGAGTATGTTGTGTACTCTTACTGAGAGTACTGACCAAGTACAAACGGTACCACGCTGGATTTGAACCGGTGATTTAAAAAAATGCTTTGGTCCTTCAGCAAAATCCCGCCCAGCAGACGTCAACCTGGCCGACACCATGATCGGTAAAGCGGTGGAGCACATGTTTGAGACGGAGGAAGGTCCGAAGGAGGAGTGGAGGGGGATGGTGCTGGCCCGGGCGCCCATCATGACCACCTGGTTCTACATCACCTACGAGAAAGACCCCGTCCTCTACATGTACCAGCTGCTGGACGACTACAAAGAGGGAGACCTCCGCATCATGCCCGACTCCAGTGAGTGAAGAACCCTTAACCCCTCTGTCACCAACGCCGTCCCCGAGTCTCAATAACAGGCACTCATGGGCCCACATGACCAGTCCAGCGAATCCAAATAAAATGTTGCACGCAAACTTCACTCATCGATCAAAGCTAGAAGCTCAGCTTCATTCCCGGGTGTTTTTGAATGATGAACACGAACGCGACTTTTGCCCTTGAGCCGTTTCTCACACGTTTCCTCCTTTCACCGGCTGAAGAAGCTGCCGCTCTGTTGCACGTGGGGCTGCCGTCATTCAATTGGCGCTTGCGGTTCCCGTCCCAGGACGAGCCGAGAGATCTCATTTCTCCGTGTCCGTAAAGTGTCCGTGAGGCCTCCACCAAAGCCTCTCTGGATTTGTTCTGCTTTACTCAATCAAAGCAAAAGCATAACAAATAGGACCGTTTCAGGCTTCTTCCTTCATGTTTCGTAGGGTTGAAGCTTTTGATCAGGCTGCTCTGGGATCTGTTGAGTGAGTCACAGGGTGGACATTATTGAGCCATAATGTTCAGTACCTGGTTACATTTACCTGAGCGTTCCACATCACTGCGCACTCAAAATAATTCGATTTTGCACAAAAGTTAGTTGTTTGCAACCGGACAATTAAGGTGGATGTCGTGTGGACGAAGGAGACCCGATGCTGTTTACCGGCACGTACGGGACCATTTTTCTCTAGACTACTGAAATGCGACACACGACGCTTGGTGGCTACAACTGTTTTGTGCTGACTGGGGCGGCGTTGGCGCGTGGAGTCGAGCGGGTGCGCTGGGAACCGCAAGGTTGGCGGTTCAAACCCGGCTGAGCAAAACATCCAAGCCCTAATTGCTCCCCGGGAAAAATGTAAAATGCAACCTAAGTCGCTTTGGATAAGAGCGTCCGCTAAATGTAATGTAATGGAAGGCAGCTACTTGCTTACTGTTTATGATGTAACCGTGTTCTAAAGGTCAGTTTGAGGGTCCAACAACACCCTGGAACTGTTCCATTACTCGGCGATAAAGTACAGCCTCTCGTACCTCATTGGTGAAATATATACTGATATTTTCACATTAAAGCCCACTCACAAGTGTCCCCTTTAGTCATCACACGAATAGTCAATATAAACCTTTTGGTTTCATAAATAAGCCAGTTTTAGTGTGTAAAGGCCAAACACGCCTAAACACGCATAGCACTGAAAAAGTTAAAGTGCCCCAAGTAGTTTGACGATATCTGAATTCTGCCCCTTTAAGAGGAACATTATTGGAATGTCAGAGCAGCAATATCATCATCCTTATGGAAAATGGTGATATTTAATAGATGAGATGAGAGGGAGCGGTTACATCTATATATATATATATATATATCTATCTATATATATAGATAGATATATATGCATATATTTTATAACTTACTGTTCCCAGGAAGTGAACCACAGCAGGTTCTTCTCTTCCTGCCCTTCATCTGCATTTCGCACATCACAACAGTCACCTGGATGCAGACGAGCTAATTCCTGCTAACCTCCCTCTCCCCCTCTCTCGCTGCAGACGACGGCGTCCCGGCGGAGAGGGAACCTGGCGAGGTGCTGGACAGCCTGGTGGGCAAACAGGTGGAGTACGCCAAAGAGGATGGCGGCAAACGAACAGGCATGGTCATCCATCAGGTGGAGGCCAAGCCCTCCGTCTACTTCATTAAGTTTGACGACGACTTCCTCATTTACGTGTACGACCTGGTCAAGACTTCCTAAGACTTCATAATGCAGCACCTGTTGAAACGTCCCAAAACAAAAGGGATAGAAAGATCAGATACCTTCTAGACTCCTTCTTCTCCTCCTGACCTTCTCAGACCCTTAAAATGTCAAAGTCTCCGCCCTGGTTTCACGACAAAAAATCTCTTTTCTGGATGTTGATGTGGATGACGCCTGAATGAATTGCATGACATTTCCAAGACGTCCTCGCTCCAAAATTCTCAAATTAGTTCTCAGTGATATTCATCGAGTGGACTCGTGTTCGAAGGAAAAGAGACGAGATGAAGAAATGTGGTCTCGAGCGACTCGCAGCACGGAAACGGGACATTACGAAGATTCTTCAAAGATCTCCCGTCAGCCTGATCCAGTTCTTCCAGTGCTTCCCATCGAGTCCCCGGCAAACGGGGAAGGACCAAAGAAATCCTGGCGTCTGCACGTCGGACTTCACCATCACAACACAGTGGGACCGGAGCCGTGAGGAACCCGTCGTTGGTAAACTGAAACTAAGAAGCGCTGAGAGTGGAAATGTGCAGACAGTTGGATTGTTTGTTGAGGATCGTATGAATTCAATTAAAGTTTTTATTGGAATTAAATTCCTACTAAACAACTCAAACTGTTTCCACCTGTGCAGGTTCACTTTCAATGCAAACATCCAACTCATTCAAATGATGTCATCCAGATGCAGGTTCCAGGCAGTTCTGCCCTAATTCCTAATTTTGTTCCGTTCTTTACTTTCTGTCTTATTTTTGATTTACTAGCTCACCGGTTTGAAGCAATCTTTTTAAACAATGTTGACTCATACCTTTGCATCAGTTAGTCGAGAATTATCGTACTTCTGATTCACAGAGGATTTTACTGTACTGACTTTTGAAATATCCCAGAATGTAACATATGGCACACATGAAGTGGGACACGTGTTGCAGCCGATACAGAACAAAAGCCGTGCGACATCTTCACCGTGAAGGTTTCTGCTCACACAAGCTCAACTAGTCGACCGCGCCGGCACCTAAAAAAGATGGAGGTTTTCTCTCCTTTTTGCTTTTTTATCGCCAAATAGTTTTTTTTCTCGTGATTTCACTAAAAGCCTTTTTGGATTTGCTCTTGTGTTTCCAAGTCTCCAGCGAAGGACGCAGAGACAAGGGACGCAGAGACAAAGGACGCAGGGACAAAAACTGGCCCTTGGCCGAAGCCTTTGTTTGTTTTAAATATCTTGTAAACATCTGGATCGCTTGAGCTCTTCTTCTCCCATCTGACATCCAAACGCAGAGGCGGCTTCCTAATGTCGCTCTGTGAATGTAAGGACGGGAGAGCTTTATGTAATGCACCTTAAAGCTGGAGGAGGGAAGGACAAGGTTCCTCAGACAGATCACGAGTATGTTGGACTTCTCACAGAAAGTCTCACAGAAAACCAGTCAGCTGTTTTCATTCAGTAAAAACATCACTGAGACGAAAAGGATCCCAGTTTGTATTTGCACACGAACCAACGGATCCGGACTGACTGAAAAGAGTGTGTGTGTGTGTGTGTGAGAGAGAGATCAACAACTCATGAAGGTTTAAACACCTTTTTATGTGGATTCTAATTTGAGTTCCAGGAGACTGAAGGTTTTCCACAAACACGTTCTGTTTGAAATTGCAGTTGAAATGTATATTTTATAATTGACATTTTATTGATAACTCAAATAAAAATTCAGCCGGAGAACATTTCAATTACAGAAATGATGTTTGTCGAATTGTTCACTATAAATATAAAACCGCACCAGCGAATGTTTACCTGCAAATAAAAAATGAGTCGGGCGACAACCAACCAAAGTACCTTCAGCCTGTGTAGTGTGTACTGTGTAGTGTGTGGTGTGTACTGTGTATGCGTCATCTGAGACGTTGTGTTCAAGTCAGTCGGTTAATTTCACTTTACAGTGGTCGATGTTGGAATGACGCAGGCCTTCGGTTACATATTTCTGCCTCGTATCGACTGAGGCGACGCAGAAGGGACGAGCTTTGAGTCGACCAGCTAGTTGCTAGTTTCATTCACTCTCGACGGGACGGGTCACGCAACAGACTTCAAATAACAATTTGAAAATGTATTTATTATGAAAAGCGTGTGTTTATATGAACACAACCAAGTGAAAACTAAAAGCCCTGTGAAATTTCAAACAATAATAATAAGAAAAAGTTATTTCTCTGCAACAAATGATCATTGCAGCAGAAACCACAATAAAGAATCCAGGGATGAACATCTGCCGTTGTACAAAGATACTTCATCTGTAAAGACGCAGACATTGGATCAGTGTCCTTGGTTTGCACTCTTCTTCCTACATGGGACGTATTCATGTGATTAACAGCTTGTCCTCATCTGCTGGAAAGGATCCAAAAGATCGATATCGTCGCTACACATCTTTCTTCTAGCTGGTCAGCAAGCCGCTGCTTTTTACACCTGCTGGCTGAACAAGGTGAGAACTAAATCAGCGCTTGGTGTCGTTTCCTGCTTCCCAGGGTGAGCGAGGACCGTTGTCCGTGGTTAACAAAATACTTCCAGGCCCTTATGGATCCGTCTCAACTGCCAATTCACTGAACTCAGCATCCGGGTTGAGCAGACGTCCGACGCTTTGCCCGAAGACACTTCTCACATGACCCTGGTGACCTTCTGGTGTCACCTGTCCAACAACAAATTCATCCCAAACTCACTCATCCGTCTGCTTTCAGCCAAACATTCTAAGAAAAATAGCATTTATCGATGGACTTTCATTTTGGTTCGGTTAAAAAAAATAAATAGCAAGATGTAAAAAAGAAGGAGAAAGACTGAAGCCCCAACACGCCGTTTATTCCCCTCGTTCTCGTCCGTACGGCCCGATCACTATGAAAATATCTCCCATATAAACAGGCAACGCGTGCGTCGGCACTGAGGCAGGTGTGCGTGTCCGAGACGTCCGGACGCGGCTCGGCGGCGTCGTCAGTCGTCAGCGAACGTCAGCCGGCCCGGCCCCTCGTTCTTCATCCAGCGGCGGTACCTCTTCATCCTCGGGTCGGTCGCCATCTTCACCTTCATCTCCTCCTCCTGCTCCTTTCTGTGCAGCTGGAAACACACGGGGAGCGTTCACGGCCCGACGGCTGCAGCAGAAGGAACGAAAAAGGCTTCAACTGGGAGGAATGAGAGCGACAAACCTCGTAGTTTTCTTTGATCCAGAGCCGCTTCTCCAGGAAGGACCGCCGGGTGTCTTCATCGATGCCGTCGAACTGGGACTGAGACATCTTCATGTTCCTCCTGGGTGTGAAAACACACGAGTGGGCTGTGAGACCAGCTGACAGCGACTCATCTTCTCCCTCCTGACCACTGACCTGATGATGTAGAACTTGTCCTCCTCGCCGTACTCCTCCCTGCAGAAGGTGAAGCGGTAAAACCAGGAGGCGTACCAGGAGACGTACTGGGTCAGGTAGTAGGGCGACAGCACGATCTGGATCAGCAGGATGTCCGACAGGTTGGGCTTCTGGTAGCCGCCCTTGATGTCGATCTTGTTTTTGATGATGTCGCGGATCACCTCCTCCTCCTGCTCGCGGATCTCCTCCTTGGAGCGGCGGTTCTTGCCCTTCTCTTTGGTGCGGCTGAGGAGGCCCTGCTGCTTGGCGATCTCCGTGGCCTGGATCCGGTACTTGGGCACCGTCACCAGGTAGCTGATGGCCTCGTTGTAGCTGCTGTGCCAGCTGTAGTACTGGAGGAGAGACAGGGAGGTCAGACGTGTGCGTTTCCCCTAAACGAGCTCATCAGTAAAACGCTTCCAACGCATCGCGGCAGGACGAAGGTCATTATTAAGCAACGCGGCGCCTGTGAGAAACAGGCGAGTGAACAAGCTGGTCCAGGAGCTCGTCACGACACATTTAGAGCAGCAGGGTTCCATGATCAGCTCACGCGTGACCACGGATGGAAATGAGTCTTCAGTGTTGATCTGTGCGTGTAAACAAACACGTAGGTAAATACCTTTCATCACAATGCGTTCTCCTTATTGCGTCAATAAGAGACTTTCTGACCGCTGCTTTTCTTCTTCCTGCTGAAGAATCTTTACAATGGACGACAAATGTAGTTCTTCTTTTTTAATACATTAAAGACATTTTCTGAAATGCTTGAATAGGCTTCAGCTGATGTCACTGAAATGGAAGGAAATGGTCAGGGACCATTTTCAGTGGCTGATTAATCCAGAAATACTGGAAAAAAGGTTTAGTATTTCCACCTATTTAACGACACGGTGTGTGTGTGTGTGTGTGTGTGTGTGCGCGCGATCATGGTTCAGGAAGTAACTGGTTAACTGATCTGGAGATATGAAGAAGTGCTAAACACGTGCTACTTGCTAGTAAGTATATTCCTCATTTGAGTAAGAAACCTCCACGTGTATTATTACTCATGACTTTCGTTCCCGAAAGTCAAACGTTTCGCTCTCCGGCAACAGAAAAAGTTGCCGCACAGTCCACTTATCTTTATTTATCCATCTTCACAGCTTCTGGCCGTACCTGGAAGATGGAGATGGCACAGATGGTGACCAAGATGACGATTCTGACGTCCACCTTGGGGGTGAGCTGTCGCCGGTAGTACGTGTAGTAGTGCTGGTAGTACTCCTCGGGGTGGTCCAGCATGTAGTCGTAGTCCCTCCGGGTGTCCTCGTCCTGCACATACAGACATCACTTCTGTTTCAGAAGCAGGTTTAGTGTGATGGAGACCTGCAGGAGGAGCTCAGCCAAACTGGGGTTCTAAAGTGTTTGTATAGTTTGGCAGAGAAAACAAACAGTGAAGTATAGGAAGGATCTATATATATATATATATCTCTGTTAATACCTGCAGGACGTGTTCGCCTCTCTTGGGTGTGTTTGCTTTCTTAAGGAATGTCCAACTCAGAATGTAACCACACGATTTCTTTTAATCTCCCAGAAAATGTGTGTGAGGAGTTTGTTCAATCTGAACAAACATAAATTCTGAGGCAAAGTGATGAACGCTTTAAAGACGCTTCCGTTAGAGCACTTTCATTATTGTACACGAGTGTGGCACATTTATTCCACCGGGATTGTGAATGAATAAATGTGAACGTTTTTAATTTCAGATTTTCTAATTGGATGTTAAAACCTCTTCAAGACAAGAGTAGATATAAATCTGGGAGGTCAAGACAAGTAAACAATAACTATTGTATTTTCCACGACACAATATTAAAAAAAAAAAATCATTTCAATGAAACAATTTGAGATCAATCATCTGTCGCACTGCCTAAACTGGTTGGACAGTGCTGGTGTGGAAAACATTACTGTGAATTATTACAGAGCACAATGTCTGAGAAGCAGGAAGCAATATTTGTACATTACATGGACAAAGATTTCCCTGAATGTCCCTCGTGTGTCATAGATAAACAGCCACTAATTATATATATATATAATTATATAAATAAACACGTCATATGATGGAAGCGATTAATAAACCACAGCACAGTGTTTGTAGAACAGTGACGTCACTGGACAGCAGCAGACACTAACGATGTTACACGTATCCTGAAGAGAAGCACGAGAGAAACGTGGATAAACACGTCACGTGTCCCTACGTGGACATTACCCGCGTGAACGCGCACGTTGCTGCAGCAGTGAGGCGGGAGACCGCGGGCCGCGGTTCTGAACCGGCCTCACTGCTCCAGAACCGTCACAGGAGCCACGAGGAGGCTGCGAGACACCGGGACAGAAACGTCTCTCAGACCGGACGCAGTCAGCTGGTCTCTGAACGAGCCTCGTTCCCGGGGAACCGGACTGACCTTTAACGTCTCGTACGCGGTGGCGATGAGCAGGAACTTCCGGTGCGCGGACTCGCGGGTCTCTCCCTCCGAGCCGGGGTCTCCCGGCCTGAAGCGGTCCGGGTGGTACCGGCGGGCCAGCTGCCGGTAAGCCCGGGCGATGTCCAGCTTGACGGCCTCCCGGCTGACGCCGAGCACGTCGTAGCACACTTCGGCGCCGCAGTAGAGGCCGTCGACCAGCGCCGTCGCCGCCGGCAGGGAGGACGCGGAGAAGAGGAGCAACGCGAGCCACCACCGAGGCCTCGTCGTCGGCGGACAGCCGGCGGAACCTCTGCCGCGCCGGCAGCGCTCCGTGGGGGCGGCCATGTCCGGTCTGCCTGGCGCAGCTGCCAACTCCGCTCCGGAGCCCAGGCTGGTGCTGGACCTGTCGCACGCTGCCTACGTCATCACTGCGGGACGCAACGGTGACGGCCCAATCACAAACCAAGGGTTGACTTCTAAACCCCGCCTCTTGGTTTATATAGCACTCAACGGTTTTGTGATATGCTGACACCTTATGAACCGCAATGAACCCTTAGGTCAGGGGTCTTCAACTAAAATGTGAAGAGGTCCAGTTAGAGAAAAATTCTAGAAGCAAAGGTCCGGAAGATCATAATGTGACTACTTAGTGTAATAAAATAGAGTTGTATCAACATTTGCATGTAAATGAATTCACTATGATTATAAAAGAATTTTGACAATATTTATTTATTGTCAAATAACTGAACATATATGTGAGACTGCAAATATAAATAATGTTCTCACGATTAACTAAATAAAAGAAGGGCTGCATTTAGAAAAATACGGGTTCTGAGCATATGAGACACTGGTTTGAGCAGAAACCAGTCCGTCCATTATGGATTAAATGCTCTACGTTCGCCGTCCATTTCTCCGTAATTTTTCACATCCGTCTCTTTCTCTCGCTTGCTGTCTCACTCGTATTTTTCTCAAATTTCTCCATCTTTCTTTTATTCCTATCGTCTTTTTATTTGTAATTTGCCGCTACCTCCCTCGTCTGTCTGCAGTATTGAGACGATATCTTCCTGCCTTGAATGCAACGACTCGATTGGTCGAGTAGTGTCACGTGGGATGGTTTGACTCAATTGCAATTGGTCGGTGCTTTAAGTCACTACCGTAAAGACGGGCAAAGCTGCGCCAGTCAAAAAGTGCGCCGTCACGTTTAAATCACAACCGTCTTTTCTTTTAGCTTTTGGTCCGAGTCCGTAATGGACGGCTTCTGGGTCCGGATCCGGACCGCGGTCCGCCAGTTAGTGACCTCTGCCTTAGGTCGTCTGGAACGGGTCTACCATGGAGAAGCGGCGTTCAGTCCCGGTGTTCAGGGGCTCCTCCTGAAGTCAGGGGCGTTTCCAGACCCCCTGGGGGCCCTAGGCGAGCAGGACCATGGGCCCCCCAGAATCATGATAAATGAAGTCCAGGACTACGGATCAGTAAAGAAATCTTTTTATTATTTTAGAATCGTTTTATTTATTATTATTTATATAATAATTAACATCAGGAGACATTTATTGCCATAATATGTCAGACATACGAGGAATGTGACTGGGCGGTTGGTGCGTAACTGCAGACAGTACGACAATGACAACAGTGCAAGAGGAATGAAATCAAATATCAGGCTATGGGTTAGTTTAAAAATAAAGGAAATTTTTTTTAAACATTTAAAAATGATAAATAAAGTGCACCAGCTAACAGAAAGTGACGTGTGCAGTGAGAAAGAAAGTGACCGGTGGAATGTCATGTCAACATATAAAATAGATAATCAATAACTAACACAAACTATACACACAACATATAAATAACAGGAAAACAACTGAAATGTGCAACATTTTCAGAATAATAAAACAGCAACTAAGCAGAAAACCAAACAAACAAGGAATTTAAGTGGAAAGGAAGAACTTAAGACTTGCTGTGACACCCTGGTCCTATTTCACAGTCCGGTAGTAGTGCCTTTTTTTACTTAAAACTGCTGCTTGCGGGCCTCGGCTTCTGCAAACGCAGCCACTATGTCTTCCATATCTATGGACCTCACAACATCTCTCTATTGAAATCAGTGCTGTTTTGCTGCCTTTCCTCTGGAAGCTCCATTTCAATTTCCAGTTCTTCTGCAAGTTCTACAGATTGACATGAAACAAGCCCACTGTCCCTGAAGCTTTCCAGCTACTGCCTCACTCCCCGTGTGTCTGTTCTAAGGGTTTCCAGAGAAACATCTGGACTTTGCAGCAGCTTGCTCACAAGGTGAACCTGGAACGAGCCCAGAGAGATGTGTGCGCTTCATTTGTTCATCTGTGTGTTTGACCGGAACCGCACGTCGATGGCGGCCAGTGAGGGCCCCCATTGGGGGGATTCCCGACGTGTCATTGCGGTGTCTACGGGGGTTTCACGTCGTGTCGCTGATATGTAGCGATATCAGCCGTCTGTCGGGGGCCCCTACTAGCAACTAGCCAGTGACTTAAGGGGCCCCGCGCGGGGCCTTTCCGATGCGTTGTCGTTGCAGCGTCCAAAGCAGTTCCATCACTGTCATTGACGTCAGCCGTCCCTCGGGGCCCCCTTCAGCTCGGGGCGCTGGGCAATTGCCTGGGTTACCTGCCCCGTTGCGGCGTCTCTGCCTGAAGTCCGCTGTCACAGTTTTCAGCTCGTTCGGTTCCAGGTTGGTCTGAGGACCAGGGAGCTGCTGGTCAACCTTCCTCCTGTACACACTCAAAAAAGACGCTTTTTAATCAGCTACCCTACTTCTATACAGGCAGCTTGTCAGCATCTCATACAGCAAATACAATTAGCAAATATCCTTTTGTTTGAAAAGGGTTCCATTGTTTTCGTGACCCAATTGTCTAGTTCTGCACATGATAGTAATATAAACTCAATCACTAACTTATTACTTTATACTGGCTCTGAGATTCTTTTCAATGAAATGTGCGTTCCCAATAAAATGCATTATTATTAAAGTCAAAAGAGTTGAAAAAACAATGCAGAGCAAAAATTGTCCAAAATGACAATAGAATCTTTAATCCTGTATTTTACCTGCTCAGGTAACGCAGCTTTAACCTACACAGCCCTGAAAGAGGACTTTGGGCTGCAACGAATAGAAAACTCAAACAAGAGGGACATCTGGTGGACTCTAGCAGGACACAACAGGTCCAACCTCTGAAGGAACAAGAGTAAGTCCCTCAAATGCCGACATCTAACGTCCCTGAATATGTGTTTATCGTTCATCTATAACACGAAATGTGCAGGGCGATGTGAGCATAACATGGTTGTTTGGGAGAAGAGCCTTTTATTTTTTTAATAAACAGCCACTCACAAGTGGCAAGTCAAAGTGGCAGAGTTGTGCGCTCATATTGGACTCCATCACTCAGAAAGAAGCCGAGGCAGAAAATGTGTTTGGGCCTTTCAGCCTTGACTTGTCAAGATAGAGGAATTAAAGCTTAATGCTGAACCGGAACAATGATAAACATCTTGCTGAACAGCTTTTTTCTTCTGATTGTGAAATACCTTTTTGAGGTAGCTGTTAAACTGCTTTGAAACAACAATCCATTACACCGTTACGGGTGGAGGGAGCGGAGACGGTACTGGCAGCGGGAGACGGAAGTGCACCAGGCAGCAGCAAAGGGACAGGTGAAGCTGACCATAGTCAGGCTGTTAGGCCAGAGGCGAGGGGGGGTGGATGTCGTGGAGGAGGAGATGACACTGACTCCAACTCTTTCTCTGGCAGACTCCCAGGCTTGCAAGGGAGATATGTACACCGTGGAGAAAAGTAATACATTCCTGGACCAAACTTTTGGAAAACCTGTGAAGGTTTTTGAGTACTTTCCTGACAGATAAATGTATCAGGAGTGTGTCATCACTACAAAAGGAGGTGGGCACAGATTGCTTGGATGAGAAGATATTAACGGTGGGAGGAACGAGCAGTCACCTCAGAGTTGATAACACGGGAACACCTAGACATCGTGTTCCTACAGGAAACCGTGACATACAAAATGAAGTGGACCGGGGGTTGTGGTGGAAAGGGCAGTAGGTTTCATCACATGGGACGAACCCGTCTGCGGGCGTAGCCATCCTGTTCTCACCTGGGCTGGATGTGAACATCTCCACGGAGATGGTGACTGGCAGGGCTCTAGTTGTTAAAGCAACACTACAGACTGTTACTTTTGGTTTTATTTCGGTCTATGCTCCAAATCAGGGCGCACACAGTCTCAGACAGGTCCTGCAACAGTGTGATCATAACGAATGTGTGGTGATGGGGGGGACTGGAACTGCACAGGAGGGGAACCTCATGCACAATCGTCTGCCACCTTGTCACGGGTGATTGCAGAAGCAGGTTTAGTGGATGTGTGGCGAGGATAGGGTGAAAAAGGGGAATGCAACTAAATAAAGGAAAACCAACAACGCCACTCGGGGAATTTCACCCCGAGAAATAATCTGGAATGTACAAGGCCCACAGGTAAGTTTACTCGGTTTGGGCAGGAGACGCAGTTCACGGTTTTAGAGAAGAACAGCTTTATTTTAAATACCTTTAAAATCAGTGCAACTGATCCAAATCAAAAGAAAATCAATTAGAGGGCTGCAGCTGGATGGGCGGACAGCGCTAGGTGTAGAGGAGATGGGGGAACCCACCAAATCAAGAAAACAAACTCAAAACCACCCGACGTAGTGAGGAACCCGCTTCCCAGGACACCGCAAACAAAGGGGTAGGACACCACCACCCAGCCACCAGCACCACCACCAGTCTCTAGCAACTAAAAGACAAAAACAATTTACAAAATTACAATAAAATAACATCCAGCCAACAATACAAAAAGGGACACGGCCCTGGTTAAAACACAGACGTGACCATGGTTTAAAAAGGAACTGATCTGGCGCCCGGTATGACCCGGGGATGCCAGGCGTAGCGACAGATATTCGGCACACCAAGCTGCAGGCAAACCGCACGCAGTCCTACACAGCGCAGTGTGGTAGAACAACGCTTCCAGGGGGGGAGATAAAGGCTGTCAGGAGAACGCCGCGGAGACGAAGCTTCTCTGGAGGTGGAGCTTCAGCGGAGACGAGTGCATGGAGACACAAACTTCACTAGAGACAAAACAGCAGCGACCCCCTTCTGCTGATCACCACAACTCCTAATTACAGAAAAAGTGCAGTTAGTGGTTCAGAGTAAAACTCGTTGCTCGCGTATACATAAAAACACACATACCTGTTTAGGACACACGCTTACACACAGGAGGAGGGAGGGAGAGGACACTGGCTGTCGCTGGCATTTACCTGTGACCACACTAGGGTTAGCCATCAGATAGTATCCACAACGCCAAGTTGAGAGGGACACTCAGCAAGCAAATACGCCACGGGAGCCACGGGAGCACAGAGCAGCACGCATCTAGTCGCCCGGAAATGACGCACCTCACAGAACAGAGGCACACAAGGAAGAGCTGGTGGAGGCATGCTACTTTTAAACCGGCCCACCTAATTGCAGCCACCTGGTGTTAATTGCCAAAAGGGTGGCACCTCATGCATGGAGGCTCAAACACCCTCGGACTAGACAATACACATGGGTGAAAGTGTTGGATGGAAACATTAGGGCAGCAAGGCTGGATAGGGTGTACATGTCTCGTGGTTTTAGTAATCGCCTGTTGAGCAGTCGCATTGGCCCAGTGGGGTTCACTGACCACCACTTGGTTACATTAGACATTCACACCTCATCAAGCACCAAGTGCAGCTCCTACTGGCAGTTTAATATTGGGGTGCTCCAGGACAGGGATTTTTGTGAGAAGTTTGAGGTTTTCTGGGGGATCTGGAGATCAAGAAAGAATGACTTCAGGTCCCTGAGTCAGTGGTGGGAAGTAGGAAAGGCCCAGATACGTATTTTTGTACAACAGTATACAAGTCATTCCACAGCAGATATCAAAAGGGTCATTGAGGATTTAGAAAAGGAAATAAAGGGATTAGAGCAGAGGCTAGTTACTCACACCAGCACAGATATGAAAAGGCTTCAACAGAAGAAACAACAACTGGGTTCATTTCTAAGAGAACAAGCCAAAGGAGCTCTGGTGAGGTCCAGGTTCACCAGTGTTAGGGACATGGATGCCCCCACCTCCTACTTCTTCAACCTAGAGAAGTCTGCCTCTCGGACCAAGCAGATGGTGTGCCTCCGCCTCCCTGATGGGAAGATGACAACTGACCCAATCGAAATGAGACAACATGCCGTGTGGTTCTACAGTGCCCTCTTCAAGAAGGAGGAAAACCACAGAGAGAGCGTTGACGAGCTGCTTCAGGACCTTCCGCTGCAGGGGGCCGAGGACAGGGCCGTCCTGGACGCGGACATCTCTTTGGAGGAGCTGACTGCTGCTGTGGGTCAGATGGCTGCTGGTAGAGCTCCTGGGCTGGATGGACTGCCCACAGACTTCTATAAACGTTTCTGGGAGTGTTTGGGAGCAGACCTGTGGGAGGTACTAAATGAGTGCTCACAGACGGCCCTGTTACCGGCAACATGCAGGCGTGCAGCTTTTTTACCAAAAAAAGGAGATTTATCCCTGCTCAAGAATTGGAGACCGGTGGCATTGCTATGCACAGACTACAAACTTCTTTCCAAGGTGCTCACAAACTTAAGGAATCGCTTAAGAACTCTCTTGAGACCATCATCCACAGGGACCAGTCCTACTGTGTACCGGACAGGTCCATTGTGAACATTTTTCTAATGAGAGACTTGTTGGACCTTTGTAGACTGTATGAAATTGATGTTGGTATTGTGTCATTGGATCAGGAGAAAGCATTTGACAGGGTGGATCATGATTCTCTTTTTTCTACTTTAAGAGCATTTGGATTTGGTGAAGGCTTTATGTCACTGTTGGGTTTGATGTATAAAGAAGCTACTCGTTTGGTGAAGGTGGGGGTAACGTTGAGTTGTCCGGTTCAGGTGCAGAGAGGCATCAGGCAGGGATGTCCCATATCCGGTCAGTTATATAACATTGCCATTGAGCCCCTTCTGAACAGGCTGAGATCACATCTATCAGGACTGATGTTGCCGGGACTACCAGAGAGGCCCTTACTGGCGGTGTCAGCATATGCTGATGACATTTATGTTTTTGTTAAAGACCAGAGGGATGTCAGTCTCCTGGGTAGCAGTTTAGCTTTATTTGAGAGGGCATCTTCAGCAAAGGTAAACTGGGGGAAGAGTGAAGCTTTGCAGGTTGGGGAGTGGTTAGACAAAGAGACGCCAAAGCTACCAGGGAACATTAGATGGGGAAGGCAAGGTCTGAAGGTCCTGGGTGTTTTTTTGGGAACAGATGAGTTTCAAAGGCAGAACTGGGAGGGGGCTGTGGAGAGAGTGCGTGCCAGGCTGTCTAAATGGAAATGGCTGCTACCTCAGCTCTACTACAGGGGGAGGGTCCTAATTGTCAATAACTTGGTTGCCTCGACCCTCTGGCACAGACTGGTAGTTCTACCTCCACCACGGGGCCTGATTGAAGAGATCCAGCAGACAGTCTTGGACTTCTTTTGGTCAGGGCTTCACTGGCTGAAAGCTGCGGTGCTGTACTTGCCGGTCCAGGAGGGAGGACAGGGACTGGTGGACATCGCATCACACATCACAGCCTTCAGATTGCAGACAGCTCGGCGCCTGTTGTACAGCTTTGGCCTGCCATGGACGGACGTGGCCTGTGTGCTGCTGAGGAGGGCCGTTTGGGGTACGACAAGCAGTTGTTCCTGCTTCAGCCCCAGTCAGTGGACTTGACTGGACACCTTTTTTACCAGTCGGTTCTACAGGCATGGCAGATCTTGTCAGTTAAGCGGACATCTGTGACGACTCTGGGGATGTGGCTTTTTGAAGAGCAGCTGTTTGGAAACAGCTACATCATGTCCCAGGTCTTGACGTCCGTAAGCATCAAATCCAGACTGAGGGAGGCCGGCTGTGTGAAGCTGGGTCATCTAGTGAAGACCTCCATCCCTCATCTGGCGGAGCTGAGCGGCGTCCGGTCCGGCAGACTGCTGCGCAGGCTGGTGGAGGAGGTCTGGGCTTCCCTGCTGGAAGTCTTTAGAGACTTTGTCAGAGATCGGACAATATCTGACCAATGGGACGATGAAGGGGAGTACCTCTTCCCACCGCTGGAGGTCTGTCCTGCTGTAGGGCAGTGGAAGGATGAGGAGGACCTCCTGCTGTCTCTAAATACTCCACAGTTGGGGGACTTTGAAGGTCTGGGGAGGAAAGCTGCATACCAAGTAAGTGTGAAGGTCTCTTGCTTGCGTGCGTTGGCCGGTGTGAAGGTTTCGAGGTGGACTGAGTTTTTTGGCAGGGGATCCTCCCCGGAGCGTTGTTGGCGGTCCCTGTACAAATCCCCTGTGGACAAACGGACTGGGGACCTCCAGTGGAGGATAGTACATGGGGCCATAGCTACTAACAGGTATCTGGTACACCTCAATCCTGGCTTAGGAGATAGCTGTCCCTTCTGCTCTCGGTCAGAAAACATCCACCACCTCTTTGTTGAGTGCTCCAGACTAGACTCTCTCTCTCTCTCTGTAGCTCGGCATCCTGACTGGAACTACCAGGTGAAACCCCTTACCAAGCGGCCCTGGAAGCAATCAGCTGGTTGGAGCAAAAGGGGAATAAAAGGCTATGGAAGCCAGGAAGAGCAGGATGAGCTGGGAGTTGAAGTGTTTAAGTCTGTGTCTGCCGATTGTGCTGGTAATTGTTTGTGGTGGCATTTTTGTTTCTACTGTTGGACAGTATGATTTTGCGTTTGAACCTGATATGGAGGTTTTTGGATTTATTATGAAATAAATCCCTCTTTTGGTTAAAATGTCCTTCTTTTATAGTTTATTTTCATTTGTTACTCCCCTAGACATCAGTCGAGGGACGTAACACACTGAAAGATAATAATAATAATAATGTGTTTATTTGGTATATATATATTTTGTATTTGGGAAGTAGTGGTAAGTTTTATCTGGCACAAACCCAAGCTTTCAGAAGCTACTTGACAGGTTTAGCAAGCTGTTCTGTTGAGCTAGTGCAACAGCGTTCTTGGCTACACTCTAAAAAATGGCACCGTAAACGGTATTTTACTGGCAGCAAGGACGCCAGGAATTTACAGTTTACCGTAAATGGTTTTTACACTATGTTACCGTAAAATGGATTACTGTATGTTACCGTAAACTTGAACAAATTTTACTATGAATTAACAGCAATTTACTGGCAGTCGACGCTAGTAACTTACTGTTTTATTTACAGGGCCCTACCGTGATTTACGGTATGTTGTCGTATATTGGATTACAGTTTGTTACCATACGATTACTGTTTTTGTGTTATAAATACCAGGATGTTACCGTTTACTTATAACCGTATACTTTTGCATTTAATTCCCCACAAATTAAAGAAAGACGAACAAAATAATTTCGGTCATAGTGGTTGGAGTTTATTAGATGCCTTTAAGACAAAAATGCTAGGCATTTGTAACCAAGAACAAAACATAAAATATGCAGCATGTATACAATAATAAAAAAATGAATCATAAGATCATTAGGAACAAGGTAAACTAACTGCAACAATACGCTATGGAACACTTTCAATTGACCGCAGCAAACGGCCGGCGTCCTTAATCCAGAGCCTCTGTAAAACAAACCAAAATGTAATATTTAGAAACAGCCATTGGTAAAATGTTAAAATTACAAAGTTGAGGAAGACAACAAGATGTAAGGAAGGAGAATGTTAATCATGCCAGGCAAATAACACTTACCAACGTTACTTGGAGAGACGAGGCAATGAGAAACTCCTCCCATATTGAACTGACAGGTGTTCTGGATGAACTGAGATTACACGTCTGACGTCACGTTCAGGAGCAGTCGGTCACGATTAACACTCAAATGACTTTTAGGCAATGGACACTCTGAATAATACAAATATTTATAATCTTTACATTCTGGCGGCTGAAATGACAGCGAAGGCGGCGCATGGGATAGGGAGGGCGTGTTGTGCAGCACAAGGTTGGCGTTTCGAATCCTGGCTGCTCCCTGTTTGAAGTTGAAGTGTCACTGAGAAAGACACCTAACCCCAAATTACTCCACATAAAATTATGTCAAACCATGGGCGTTTTGGATAAACAGCTGCATGTATAGTAATGTCGTGTAAGTCAAAGTCATCATCGTATCTCATTATGATGACTTACAGGACCTGTTTTTCAGTGGCTGACATGGGCTTCCATACATTAACCTACAACAGATGTAGATGGATTGTGATTCACTGCACTTTGTGTATTTCCACCACTTCAATAAAATATATGTAACATGCAGTTGAATTACAGTAGTCTGCTATTATTGTAAATTGACAGCTTTAACTGTTTATTCATGACATTGGCCGTTAATTTACAAGCAAGGGATGGAAATTTAACTGTATGTTACAGTTATTATGACATACTGTAAGATACCGTTAGAAATGCACCGTAAATTTACAGCAATTTGTTACAGTGTAGCGTGTGAAAAGATGCTTGAAGGTGCGCTCACCAAAATCAACAAACCTTTATTTGTTTGGCACCTTTCACACAGGTTAACGCAGTTGAAAGTGCCTCACAAAGACCGAGAAGCCCAAAACGAGAGTGTTAAAACAACAGAAGAAAATACAGATATTTAGCAATTTTAAACCAATTCAATTGAGACAATACAATGTTGACAATGTATGATTTTATATATTTCTATTGACAAGCCATGTCAATTTACATTTTCAAAAAGATCCAAGTTACACAATTAGCAGTAGCAGCAGTGACCACTACCAGCGTTCAGATCGACCATTGGTAATGCGATATACTTAAAAGTGAAATAATAAGCACAATTGATAGAAACCTCTACATCTGTTCATAGGCCTGCCATTTGCACATCTGGAGTGCACATAGCATGGCTAAAGCAATAAGCAATCATTTTTTGTGTCTTTGCCTAAAATTGTGAACTTGTGATCATCAATTGGAAATTTCTCGATGAGCTTTCTGACTTGCTCATTGTTCTTGGACTTGTTGTTGAATAGGTGATAACGATTGTCACACTGTTTAATAAGGTCCGAAAGGCCCCCCTCTGCTCTTATATAGTCATCTAGACTTCCTTTCAGTTCCTTTCCGTGGGTCAGCAGGACAATTGTCTTCTCTCTGATCTTCCAGCCCAACTTGTCCTCCAGCTTCGGTAAAATGTCCCTGTCGCGGTCCGTGAACCGGCCCAGCTGCAAAACGAGAAGCACCACGCAATGCTCTCGCTGACAGTACGTCTTGCACTCTTCGACCTGCTCCTGAGAGTCTTCCAGCTGGTCATCAAGGAAGTCCGGAGTGTCGACCAGTCTCACCGTTACCCTCGATGACTTCTTCACCAATTTGCTCTCACACCGGGTTGTTGTTATTACGGAGTTTGCCTCAGATTTAAAAAGGTGTTTGGAATCATATTTGATGCCGAGAGCAGTAAGGATGGTGTTTGCTGATGCACTCTTCCCAGTCCCACTCAGTCCCAGCAGAACAATGTTGAATATGCCATCGCCCGCCGTATGGACACTGTCACCTGGAAGATAAAGTTAGAGGAAAATGGCCAAAGTATCTGTTCAAATGATTTCATCTAAAGAACATAAGCGTCACACTGTGGCCTTGCTGACAACCATCTATGAATATCTCAGCAAATGCAAAAAAACAAAGGGATGCCGCAAAACACAAATGCACGTTGAATTTGTAACAGTTTCTATCTCATTATGTTGGGATATACGTGTGGTATCTCCCGCAGCATACCAACGGGTCGTTCAGGTGCTGCTACTGCCAAGGCATCTTGTGAGGTGGACGGAGTCACGAGATGTGATCCTGTGAGGATGCAACAAACATCGTGCTGTTATAAACACAAACAATGATGGAAACAAACAAGGCTTTCAAACCTTCTCACAGCTAGTTGGCTGCGTTACCTCCGTCCGTTTTCCTAACACAGGCTGTGAGCTGGAGTACATTTAAGGATGTGGGGTCTACATCTCTAAGGTTTCACCTTAGCATTTCATTCAACAAATCAACAAAATGTATCAGTTTCTTACTGTTTCATTATATGTTAGTGTTTATTTTCAGTAGGCATTCAGGGGATGACTGATGGCTTTGGGATTTAGACGTGTTGGATGAGTGTGAGACAGAATTGAGTCAGAGTTCTTGCTACAATGGTCCATTTTCCTGACTATTGTGAAATGGGCTGTCCCTGTATTTAAAAAAAGTACAATAAAAAGTAATCAAAACCAGACATGTACCTTCTCTCCCATGTTGCTGCGGCGGATCGCCGTTGTGACTGAAATAGACAATAAACAAGATGATAGCAATAGAAAGACATTGTTCATTCAAGTCTCTCATATCACCTTTATGAAATTTGCCTTTTTTTTAAACTTCACAACAAACACACACAGATATGTTTGAGCGTTAAGGATTTACAATAATATGTTTAATCTTGAAAAAATCCTGTGGTAACGTCATTTAGCAAAAGGAACCTATGAGTTACTCTGTACAGCGTAAACAAAATACATAGTCTGCTGGTCCTACTGGCCCCATTGGCAAAGTTCTTTGCATTTGGCCAACAAAATCTACCAGCTAAGTATTTGTTATTAATATTCATTATTTAACATATCATATCCCCAAAATGGACCAATGAACCATTTAATTTATTCTTCTTATTGTGAGCATGAGGGGTTGAAAATGTCTGAAATGAACATACATATGTATTAAGCACATTGTCACCCAGCTTTACATAGTAATGAAGTTACAACCTTATATTCTCCAGGGCTGCCTTTCTTCTCTCCACAACATCTTCACTGTAGTTCTTGTAGTCATACAGGAAGGGCTGATGGGCTGAGCACCACTTCTTAAATTCCCCAAGAAGGTTTTGATTGGCAGTCGCCAAACTGGTTTGGAACCTTTGCTTCAGATGATCGAGCAAACAGAATTTTTCAGCATCCTGGAACAGAATGATCAAGTGCGCCGTGGTGTTTTCTCCAAAGAATTCTTGAAGTTGCTTGATTTGATCTACAACTTTTTCCTCCTCTGAGTTTTCTGTATCGATGGCCAGTATGAACCGAACCGGGGCTGGATGGCAACGTGCCAGGAAGTCAATGACCAGCTGGTCTGGGTTCGGACATTCTTTTCCAAAGAAGTCAGGGGTATTAATGATTCTGAAATCACTGTTCTTTTCCACAACAAAGTTGTTGGACAAATTGCTGAAAGCAGAATTATTATTAAGGATTCTTTTTCCAATGGTGTTCTTCAACTGGACTCTCTTACCAAACATACCAATGGTTGATGGTCCAGGATGTGCTGTTGAAAAAAACATGGAAGTAATAAATGTGTCTTCACAATCTGTGAATTATGAAGTGATGTTTCAGTCTGCAGAATGTTGTCAAACAAAGAAAACAAGGAGAGGGAGACTAAATGTTTTGAGGAAGATTGTGTGATGTTAACAGCACAAACTATTTCCCTCTCAAAGTACACATACCATTGAAATAGAGTAAAGGCAAAGTAGGCCATAGATTACTCAAAATTCTACTTCTGTACAATACTCGAGTAAATTATACTTTGTTACATTACACCACAGCTGGAACAAAAGCAGGAGTAACAATATTAAAACACTGTATTAACATGTAGATCCAAGCTGTGTCCACTATAGCAATCAGCATGAATTTGAATATACACTTAATACTTTTTTGTCTTGCCGTCTCCATGCTGGATTTGGGTAAGAAGAGAGAATAAACAGGCTTTACTTACGCGGTGGATCTTTTCTAATACTCATTTCGTCGGCTTAGCAGAGATCAGTCAGCAGCAAGTTTCACCGGAGTCTCTGCATCAGCTTTGGAATCCGTCAGACTTAAGCAGTGTGACATTAGTGGATCCGCCCACAAGGCGGATCCACTAATGTCACACTTACTAAAACATTACTGAGCTCTGCTTCATCTCATTCAAGTCCAAGTCCAAGACGGAGAGAGATGGGTGTAAATTCATCGATACCCAGAGGTGAAGTTATAAAATCTAAAAGTACCTTTCAGCATCTTGCGGTCACGCCCTCGTACTAACTATGTGATGGGTTTTACTCTGTATATTCTTCCACTGTTTGCAGGTGCTCCACTGAGGATTGTGATGATTGGGAAAACTGGAGTTGGGAAGAGTGCCGTGGGTAGCACCATTGTGGGTAAAAAGGTTTTCCACTCTGCGGCCAGTGCGGAATCCGTGACGCTGAGCTGCAGGGCAGAACGGGCCATCGGTGCCAGACACATCGACGTGATCGATACCCCTGGGATCCTGGATACGTCCAGAAGTCCAGAGATTATAAAGAGAGAGATTGCAAAATGCATCCAGGTGTCCACTCCTGGTCCTCACGTCTTCCTGCTGGTCATCCAGGTCGGCAGGTTCACAGAGGAAGAGCAGAACTGCGTTCAAGCCCTGGAGAAACTCTTTGGAACCGAGGCGTCCCAGTACATGATTGTTCTTTTCACGCGTGGTGATGATCTGAAAGGCAGAACCATCAGAGAGTATGTGCAAGACGGCCACCACAAACTCCGAGACCTAATAAAGAGATGTGGTAACCGGTACCTTGTCTTCAACAACAAACAACGTTGGGAAAGGACTCAAGTGGTAAAGCTGATCAGGAAGATCGACAAGATGGTGGCGGCAAACGGAGGACAGCACTTCAGTGAAGAAATGTATGAGGAAGCACAGCGCACCGTGCAGGACCGCAGGAACAACGTGGACCCAACTGGACAACGGCTTTACAACTACACCTTCATGGGTGAGCTGCTGACCAGAGTCATTCTCTTCCAGACATCACTGATTGCTGTTACTCAGGGACACCAACCACAGTGATCGGCCCGTCACAGCCTCCCATCGCGACCCCACGCCCGCTCTGAAGGAAACTACCCCAGTTTCTCCCAGATTTCAGCTTATCTGAGACAAATCATTTAGATGAATTTCAAATCTAGGTGTGAAATGACCTCTTTGTAAAAGTTCCCTGGTATTCATGTTTAATGCACATTAATTGTGCATTAAACATGCACAAAGAACTATGACTTTAATTGTAACATAATCAAGTTAGTAATAATTGTCGGTTATTGGCCTGTCATGCCATTTCTGCATTTCGGTACTTTTAAACTATCCTATTTTTTAACTGTTTTTATCTTTAATGACTGTTTATCTTTTATGTTTCAATCAATGTCCTTAACTGTTTTAAATCTTCTTGCCTTATGTCTGGGTGGTTTTAATGGTTTTATGTGAATGATTTGAATTGCCTTGTTGTTGAAATGTGCTATACAAATAAAATGGCCTTGCCTTGTCCCAACTACTGTATGTCAGTGTCTCTTCTTTGATCTGAAATGTCGGCATTCACCAAGTTTCTTTCAGTGTAATTTCTTTCTCCACAGTTTCATAAAATGGAGACATTATTCAAATGTATAAAGATGTTAATGAGTGCAGAGCTGGAATCATTATCAGTGCTCTATTTGGAAATCAGTTATAGATTAATTTATCTAGTTTATCATTTACCATCATCAAAATTGATGATCTGAAACAATATATATGTATATATATATAATATATATATGTATACACTGTATATATAACTTATAAGACCTTTTGTTTCAAAACCACCTGTAGGAAGAGTTGACAGATACAGTCAGTCACTGGTTGTCCACTTTTCTCTAAGTGAGATGTTTCTCGACATGTGAAATGACCTCGGACTCGCCCTGTTCCTGCTGTATGTTGCTTTATCCTGCTTGAGTGGGGTAGGGGGGGATTAATCGCATCGCAAGTATTTGATTGGATGAGTAGAATTCCGTAATGTGATTTACATTACATGTAATGGGTCTGTGTGTTCCCTGGACCGCTCCATGAGTTAAAATAGAGGCGCTATATATTATCTTTTGGTTTTAGGTCCAGGATCCAGATACTTTCACCAGCTTCATTGAAGTGATGTGAAGAGAATCTAACAATCGTCTGTGTCTCTGAAAGGGTTTGGCGCACATTTTATTACTGGATTACTGTAAAGGTATAAACATGGGCCAAAGGATAGCGGAAAAGGGAGGTGGCAGCTCTGACAGACTTCCCAGAAGCCATCTCAGCATTTTGTGTGGGAATGCCCTACAAGGGTGTGGATGTTCATCAGGTGGCATTCATGCGGTTCCATTTTTTCATGTGTTAGCAGACAAAATATTAAAAAACGTTTTGTGATTTGTTGCAGGAGCAGATCAACTATCGCCTGTATGTCTCCTGACCACAAAAGAAAGATAATCTATGGAGAGAATGTAACACTTGTCAAAGCAAACTTAATGTCTTGTTTTGGTGATTTTACAGCAGTGTTGAGTGAGAATCTTTCTAACATGTATCGACCTTAAAGGTTCTCTATTCAACATTCACAGCATCGATACAACAGCAAAAATATGGAGGAGTATTGTCTTCCTGAACAGACAATGTGTCTCTCCCTGTGTTGTTCCCAGAGAACCTGCTTTATTTATTCTTTATTGGTAAATATCCCGATAGTGATTCGATTCAGATCAGTCATGTTGAGTTAATGAACAGGCTTTGCACAAAGCATTATTTGGATAGTTTTGTCTAAAGCATTTGTTTGATAGCATTACATTTTATAACTGCGTCTTTTATTTTTTATTACTGATGTTTGACTATAAAGGTTCTGCAAACTACTGACTGACCTTCAACAGTCATCCGTGTATGTAAATAACCCTTTCATCTGTTTTAGCCTATTATTGGTGCAATAGCATTACATTAAATAAAACAAATCTAGATATTATCATGTTTCTTGAATGAAGTCTTGTGTTTTTAAAAATGGCTCTTAAACTGTGAAATGAAAGGTCAATATACTGGGACTTTTTCTTTGTGGTGATGTGACTCATGTTGCTGAGCAGCAGCAGGTTACTTCCTTGTCTGAAAAAGAGAAACAGGTGACAGATTATGACACATGTTACAATTAAAAGTTCTTTCAGGTATCACTTTTAAAGCCCAGAGCACACGCCCCCACATTCTTTATCCTACATTTTATTGTGTAAGAAGAACACAATGATCCTTGTCTGGATCAGAGCTTCTCATTATGTGAGACTGTTAAACCGACCTGAATACTGTGTCTCAGTCAGTTGTATCTACTGTACAGTAAAGTATAACCACGTTGTTCATTTCTTATGGACTGGTGTCTTATGAAAAGGTTTTACAGAAAACATCTAGTTATATTTCTAGTTATATTGGCCAAGATGAGTTATACGCTCTTGTCTGAGATGGACAGTACATGGAGCATGATGCTGTGTGACATGTGACATGAGACATACATGTAACTTACTCTCAGTATATCTGTTGTTTGCTCAAATTTCTGCGCTGTAAATGGTCCGAGGCAAACGGTGTCTCATGTACGTGTGAGCATATGGGTCGTACTGTACATGTGTACATACTGTTCTGGCTCCTTTTAAGTGTCCAACTTCCCTCATCTGCCCACAAGTTACTCATAGAGACCAAAACGTGCTGATGTTTGTTGGTGTCACAAACGTGGTCCGGATCAGGAACATTTATTGCTGAAGCATAACTTACAAGGAATTTGACATGGTGGTTGGTGCATAATAACAACATCGTGCTGGAATCAATCAGGAATTATCTGTCATTTTTTAGCTGAACATCTCTAACTTTAATAACTGTGTTTATACAAAAGTCAATTAAACAGTATTTTGGATTCATGCTCCATGGTGGATGAAGTCTACCAACTACCTTACTTTTCTTTAAGCCCCTACACATATTATTTTTATTGTAAATGACTATAATGACCTTTTTTACACTAAATTATAAAATTATTACATTACAGGTCATTTAGCAGACGCTTATCCAAAGCGACTTACATTACACTTTAAACCCATGGCTTTTTTACATTTTGCCCGGGGAGCAATTAGGGGTTAGGTGTCTTGCTCAGGGACACTTCGACTTGAGACATGGGGCAGCCGGGACTCAAACCACCAATCTTGCGGTTCCCGGCGCACCCGCTCTACCCCCTGCGCCACGACGACCCCATGCATAAAATGCTGTGGTTGAAATGATGACATTTAGGTGGTTAGGGTCGGTTTTGAACCAGTTATAATAATTAGAGCCCAAACTAAAATCATAAATGTCCTGACAGCCAGCTCCTCTCCCCATCACGTGCGCTTCAGGGGATTCTCATCTACCTCGTCATCAACATACCTCCACAAAACCAACAAATGTCAGGTCATCTCGCTATAGACGTGGTGAGGAAAGGCCCAGAAATTCATACTAAAATATTAAAATCAATATTTTCATGGATAAGGAAGCCTAACAAGGTAACTAAGAGATGAGAGACAAATTGGATGATAATTGCTTTGAGTGTGTTTTACAGCTGATTTAAGAAAAGGGTCAAAACCGACCCGTTAACATAAGAGATGGTAACACAAGAGCAAGGTTGAAAAAAATAGAATGTAACAACAATGTCTAAAACACAAGCTTTCTAAAGTGATTACTCGTTATCTTCAGAAGAAAAACAAACCGTTGATATAAATTAATGAATTTCAAAATGTGAGATGAATTAGTTCTGTATTGACAACCCTAAAAAAATATACATCATGTTGAAAATGGCACATCTAACATACGTATCCAGCCATGGCAGATGGACGGAGATGATCTGTGACTGACTGGCTCAGGAATCAGAGAAATGTCACCCAACAAACTGCTGTAGGAGGAATTTATTTGAGAAGTTGACAGTTAAATGGAGCAGGGCGTCAGCAACAGGAACAGACGGGAAAGTTTGTTATTCATAAACTGAAAGCAGGATGTATCGTCCTGTGT